CCATCCCCAACACACCAGGCATACCCACCATCACAGATCTCACGGTCAGGGCATAGCCTCTCCTGGGTCAGCTCCCCTCTACAAGATGGAGACTCTCCTGTCCATGGGAAGCCGGTCCGGGCATTCAGGCAGATCCGGTGTCGGTGCTGGACGGAGTAGAAAGATGGCGGTATGGAGTCATTGTGAGGCGATGGGATGCAGTGACTACACGGCGTCCACTCCGACCATTCGCTGAGAAACGCTTCACCTACACAAGACACCAAACATGTCAGACAAGAGACCCAACCAAAATGGTGCAACCTACCCAACCAAAATGGTGCAACCTACCCAACCAAAATGGTGCAACCTACCCAACCAAAATGGTGCAACCTACCCAACCAAAATGGTGCAACCTACCCAACCAAAATGATGCAACCTACCCAACAAAATGATGATGCAACCTACCCATCCAAAATGGTGCAACCTACCCAACCAAAATGGTGCAACCTACCCAACCAAAATGGGGCAACCTACCCAACCAAAATGGTGCAACCTACCAAACAAAATGGTGCAACCTACCCAACCAAAATGGTGCAACCTACCCAACCAAAATGGTGCAACCCACCCAACCAAAATGGTGCAACCTACCCAACCAAAATGATGCAACCTACCCAACCAAAATGGTGCAACCTACCCAACCAAAATGGGCAACCTACCCAACCAAAATGGTGCAACCTACCCAACCAAAATGATGCAACCTACCCAACCAAAATGATGCAACCTACCCAACCAAAATGATGCAACCTACCCAACCAAAATGATGCAACCTACCCAACCAAAATGATGCAACCTACCCAACCAAAATGATGCAACCTACCCAACCAAAATGGTGCAACCTACCCAACCAAAATGGTGCAACCTACCCAACCAAAATGGTGCAACCTACCCAACCAAAATGATGCAACCTACCCAACCAAAATGATGCAACCTACCCAACCCAAATGGTGCAACCTACCCAACCAAAATGAACCTACCCAACCAAAATGATGCAACCTACCCAACCAAAATGGTGCAACCTACCCAACCAAAATGATGCAACCTACCCAACCAAAATGATGCAACCTACCCAACCAAAATGGTGCAACCTACCCACCCAACCTACCCAACCAAAATGGTGCAACCTACCCAACCAAAATGATGCAACCTACCCAACCAAAATGATGCAACCTACCCAACCAAAATGATGCCCTACCCAACCAAAATGATGCAACCTACCCAACCAAAATGGTGCAACCCTACCCAACCAAAATGATGCAACCTACCCAACCAAAATGATGCAACCTACCCAACCAAAATGATGCAACCTACCCAACCAAAATGATGCAACCTACCCAACCAAAATGGTGCAACCTACCCAACCAAAATGGTGCAACCTACCCAATCAAAATGGTGCAACCTAACCAACCAAAATGATGCAACCTACCCAACCAAAATGGTGCAACCTACCCAACCAAAATGGTGCAACCTACCCAACCAAAATGATGCAACCTACCCAACCAAAATGATGCAACCTACCCAACCAAAATGGTGCAACCTACCCAACCAAAATGGTGCAACCCACCCAACCAAAATGATGCAACCTACCCAACCAAAATGGTGCAACCCTACCCAACCAAAATGATGAGCAATCTACCCAACCAAAATGGTGCAACCTACCCAACCAAAATGATGCAACCTACCCAACCAAAATGATGCAACCTACCCAACCAAAATGGTGCAACCTACCCAACCAAAATGGTGCAACCTACCCAACCAAAATGGTGCAACCTACCCAATCAAAATGGTGCAACCTAACCAACCAAAATGATGCAACCTACCCAACCAAAATGGTGCAACCTACCCAACCAAAATGTGCAACCTACCCAACCAAAATGATGCAACCTACGCCGGAGAACACGTGCTGTACATTCTGTGCTATGAGACAAATGGAAACCACTGTTGACCATCTCCATCACAGAGAGAGAACTTCATGGAGCCCCACGACCTCTGCACCTCCTATATATTACAGGGCTGAGAGCGGACATGTCTACCCATCCATCATGGAGCATTCTCCTGCCCCTGAGGAAGTGTGGTTCTACATGAAACAGGTCAGGTATGTCCACTCTTAGGTTACAGGGTTGGTGAAAGGGCCACAGCCCCCATCGTCGAATCAGGAGCCTCTATATGTAAGCTCCATGAAGCCCATGTAGGCCGTGAACTCGGGCTCCAAGGCATGGCTTCCTTCCTTCTAGCAAACCCAGCCAATGAGATTTTCTATAGGTTTTGGAGAGTGGCCATATATATAACTTACCTTCACAGTTTTTTCTGTTACACTGCAGCTCCCCCTGGTGACAGACGCTGGAAAGACATAAAGGCGGTTACCTCCAGGTCATGTGACCTAATAACTGCAACCCAAAGTCTAATTCTACAATGGAATTTGGATGTAATGAAGTCCTTTATGGTCTTGTGATCCGGACGTTCAGTGTAACACAAGAAGGATGGATATGGTGCCATTCAGGGGACATAAAAAAGTGTCCCCTCCCTTTATTTGGTAGACTCCTCCCCCTCATTATGTGATAATCTCCCAAGACAAAACGTATGTACAGACAATTATGTATCAGACTCACCACTCTCTACAGCCAAGACGCAGGGTGTCACCCCCGGGGTCAGATACGCCAAGCCATCATGAGACGTGTATGGACAGCCACACTCCGAGGGGCGGACACATTCTCCGTACTGCTCCAGGAACCCCTGAGAGGACATGGGAGAGGCCATCACACATTTATTATTCCATAGATAAGGACTTCCTGTGACGGGAGTGACTTTGGGTGGGGGGCCCATGGAACACAGCTCACTTTGGGTGGGGGCCCATGGAACACAGCTCACTTGGGGGGGCCCATGGAACACAGCTCACTTTGGGTGGGGGGTTAATGGAACACAGCTCACTTTGGGTGGGGGGGAACACAGCTCACTTTGGGTGGGGGGCCCATGGAACCATGGAACACAGCTCACTTTGGGTGGGGGGCCCATGGAACACAGCTCACTTTGGGTGGGGGGCCCATGGAAACACAGCTCACTTTGGGTGGGGGGCCCATGGAACACAGCTCACTTTGGGTGGGGGGCCCATGGAACACAGCTCACTTTGGGTGGGGGGCTCATGGAACACAGCTCACTTTGGGTGGGGGGCCCATGGAATGCAGCTCACTTTGGGTGGGGGGCTCATGGAACGCAGCTCACTTTGGGTGGGGGGCCCATGGAACACAGCTCACTTTGGGTGGGGGCCATGGAACACAGCTCACTTTGGGTGGGGGGTTAATGGAAACACAGCTCACTTTGGGTGGGGGGCTCATGGAACACAGCTCACTTTGGGTGGGGGGCCCATGGAAAACAGCTCACTTTGGGTGGGGGGCCCATGGAACACAGCTCACTTTGGGTGGGGGGCCCATGGAACACAGCTCACTTTGGGTGGGGGGCCCATGGAACACAGCTCACTTTGGGTGGGGGGCCCATGGAACACAGCTCACTTTGGGTGGGGGGCTCATGGAACACAGCTCACTTTGGGTGGGGGGGGCCCATGGAACGCAGCTCACTTTCGGTGGGGGGCTCATGGAACACGGCTCACTTTGGGTGGGGGGCTCATGGAACACAGCTCACTTTGGGTGGGGGGCCCATGGAACACAGCTCACTCTGGGTGGGGGGGGCCCATGGAACACAGCTCACTTTGGGTGGGGGGCTCATGGAACACATCTCACTTTGGGTGGGGGGCCCATGGAACACAGCCCCCTTTGGAGAGGTGGGAGACCCCTTTCTCAGCTCCCCATATCCCTCCTATGTGTAAGTCCCCCTGTGCCTGTTAGGGGTACAGGGTGAATGTCCTGATATTGTGTAGACATCCTCCTATGTATAGGTGGGGGGGGGGGGTTTGTGGATTGTTTTACTGCCATGTGGTCCCATTGTTCTATTGTGTCTTGCTTGGGAGCAAACTATTATGGGATGTATGTGTTTGTGTATTGGCTTGGTGGGGGGTGTTCCCAGCAGCCCTCCCTCCTGATGGGAGTGTCTGCTGTGTGGCTCTTGATGTATTGCCCCGCCCTCTGTATATATCTGGTGTCTGTGGTAAAATAAAGCAGTCCACTTCCTCTTTTAATACAAGTCTGGTGTGTCTCGTCCTGTATGGTCAGCGGTGGGGTCCGTGGATCTGTGTTTGGACAGGGAAGCGGGAGTCTAACAGGAATACCCCAGTGCAGTCGGGGTCCGGTTCCGTTACATTGGTGCAGTCGGGGTCCGGTTCCGTTACATTGGTGCAGTCGGGGTCCGGTTCCGTTACATTGGTGCAGTCGGGGTCCGGTTCCGTTACATTGGTGCAGTCGGGGTCCGGTTCCGTTACATTGGTGCAGTCGGGGTCCGGTTCCGTTACACTTCCAGGAACCTTCTCTACTGATTACAGATCTCCACAAAGATTCCAAGGTGAAGCCACCACAAATGGAATGGAGACTCTAATGGGCCCCAGTCAGACAATGAAGGACCTGACCTTTGCCTGGTCACACTCCAGCACTAGAACTGCACCCACCCCTCTGGCACTGAACACGGACCTGGCACTCACCGGGGGGCAGTAACAGCCGGGCTGGCAGGTGGACACGTTGCGGCAAATCTCCGGTGATAATCGGGAGAGACAGAGGCTGTCACATGGAGAACCACATGGGCTGAATAGAAATGGAGGCCAACAGCTGGACTCTGAGACAAGAGAGAGGAACGAATATCAGACAAAACATCAGGAAAATCATATGTTGGACACGGGTCACGTGCGATCCCAGCCATCTTGGAGGACATATTGAACATGGTCATGGTCACCCTTGTATGAGCTCAGATCCGGTTCATTGGAATATTTGGTTGTGGCCAGTGGAACACGGACCTGGCACATGTAACAGTGAAGGATTCCTACCTGAACACCCTGACAGGTCACATGTCCGAACTTCACTGCCCAGCTTGTCACATGCGTCGACATTTGGCCCTTGAGGCTCCCTGTAGCGGTGCTGGAGGGCGGAGTGACAGGAGCATTCTGACCAATTACTCCACTGGCCCCAGAAGCAGCTTCCTGTAAGGCACACATAGAGCATGGAACAGACCTGTGACTGCAAGGAACACATATGACCACAAGGAACACATATGACCACAAGGAACACATATGACCGCAAGGAACACATATGACCGCAAGGAACACACATGACCGCAAGAAACACACATGACCGCAAGGAACACACATGACCGCAAGTAACACACATGACCGCAAGGAACACACATGACCGCATGGAACACACATGACCGCAAGGAACACATATGACCGCAAGGAACACATATGACCGCATGGAACACACATGACCACATGAAACACATATGACTGCAAGGAACACATATGACCGCATGGAACACACATGACCACATGAAACACATATGACCGCAAGGAACACATATGACCGCATGGAACACACATGACCACATGAAACACATATGACCACAAGGAACACATATGACCGCATGGAACACACATGACCGCATGAAACACATATGACCACAAGGAACACATATGACCACAAGGAACACATATGACCGCATGGAACACACATGACCACATGAAACACATATGACCACAAGGAACACATATGACCGCAAGGAACACACATGACCACATGAAACACATATGACCGCAAGGAACACATATGACCAGACAGACAACATAGATCACATAAGTACATGTTTCCCAATGTTTGATACAAGCCATGTTCCCGCACTCACCTTCACACGGCTGCAGGTAACACGCCGCAGTCTCCACGTGCTCCCCGTCATTACATTCCACATCCGAAGATTCAGCACCGTGACAATCGCACCGCCATGTCCGGCTGCTAATTCCAGTGCCGCAGCTCCGTGAACACGGACTCCACTCCGACCAGCCGCACCGGCTGCTGCCTGAAGGGACCACAGACACATAAGGGTGGAATGTTCCAGTCAATGATGGAATAATGGTGGACAATAAAAGGCAGTAATGATGGCGATATACAGCAAGGGTCATCATTACAAATCATGGGGCCCCATACAACCTACCGACAGGCCCCCAGACTGGTACGTACCTAGGACTGATACAGTAATTGTGCTATCCCCGAGACCGGGGCACCCACAGACTCCATCACAAACATTTGGACATGCATGGGGCTGCTGGCTCCTCCTCCTCCAGAACATGGGACAAATGGACGAGCTCTATGACAAGCAGATAATGTGCCACATCGACCGCTCAGCAGGCAAACTCAAGTGTGGCAAGCTGGTTTGGGACTCTCCTCAGCTTTGTTGGGCTTTGTGATGCCATTTTGCATGTTCTTCTGATAAGTGGGTTGGTTTCAAGCCGCTTCCACCTGCCTGCCACTAATTGCAAGCCCTCAGTGCACCTGGACCAGCTTGTCCTCCCCTGTGGTGAGTAGGGTAGGAACAGGACTGCCACTCTCAGACCTCATCAATACGGGGATTCTTCCTGCTTCCATGCCCAACCCAGGCCTCCCTGCTGAATTGACAGAGCCTAGGCCTGGCACGGAAGTACCAAAGCAAAGTCTCTCTTGTGGTTTGCAAAAATCGGTGAACTTTGGCAGTGTTTTTGTCAGGGTCCTGTCCATGGCAGAAGTTCTGGAAGATCTGGCATTTCTGCCAGTACTCTGCATGGCCGCAGAAGGACACATCAGCCTCAGTTTGGTGCCAGATGGCCTTTATAAGGAGGCTCATCACTTCCTCAAGTTGCTGGATGATGTCTAGCTCCCCGTGCCCTGTTCCTGGTTCCTGTGACTTTGACCCGTGATTTCCTGTTACCGACTCGGCTTGCTCCTAGACCCGTCTACTCTGCCTTACCCTTGATCTGACCTCGGCCTGGCTTATGGATTCTCTCTCTCTCTCTCTCTCTCTCCTCTGTGAATGACCTCGGCTATCCCATCTGACTACATCCGCTCTGATTCCCACCTGGTACCTGACCTTGGCTTGAACCGACTACCCAGTAAACACCTAAATCCCGGAAGGGCTTGCATACCACGCACAGGCGCCTCCTGTCTGCAGACCTATCTCCATGCACCAGCTGTGCTTCTGAGTGGACCACCAACCAGCACTCCTACAGGCGACCTGTGCAACTTTGGACCTTACTCCTACTCTCAGGGGAGTCCGGAACTTAGCCACAAGGGAAGCCCTCTCTCCATTGGCCTTCATCACCAGGTACGTGATAGCTTTGCAGAATTGGAACATCTATATGTCCCAGATTCCCACTTTCTCCAGACCCATACCATATGTCCACTATGGGTGGAGATACAGGTGGGCAGAAGGAGAACAGGCACACATCTCACCTTTCATCACTCCTCCCTTTGAGACATGTTCCCACCTATGGCCAACCCCAGACTTTATGTCCACTGAAAAAATCCAACAATGTTAGGGAGGAGGAGGAGGAACGCCATTGTTTTCAATCTTCACATGATTGACTGTTTAAAGAGGACGCAGATTAACTTCACTTCACCCAGGATTTAGTAAATGAGGTCCTTCATATATAGAGAACCTTGAGAGTTACATAGACAACAGGGGGTAACATGGTGGACGGCTCACCCTCACAGTGCTGGCTGGTACAGTTTCTCCTCTCGGTGTCCGGGCCTTCGCATTCAGAGCCATTGTTACGTGGAGGAGGGTTGATACAGGCACGACTCCGGATTTGGACAGCAGCACCACATGTGGCCGGACATTCAGACCACGGAGACCAAGGCGTCCAGTCACCATTCACTGAATATTGGATAGAAGGGCAGAATTACCCACAGAAGGGAATGTCTCTATTACTACCCCCATCATTGGTGTTGCTTCAGCTCAACTGCGAGAACACAAGTTACAACACACAGAAATATTGGCCACCACCGCCATACTGGAGGACCTGAGAGGGAACACATGGCTGGCCTCACTGTGAGATATCAGGAGACACTCTGAGGAACATCCAAGAGGAAGGAGCTGAGGGCCACAGAGAACTTGAAGAGGTTGAGGACAGAGATAAGGAAGAGGAACAAGAAGAGAAACAATAAAGAGGAAATGTGAAGAGGAAGAGGAACCAGAAAAGGAGGAGGACCCAGAAAAAGTGCAAAGATAAAGACAAGGCGGAATGAGATAAATGAGAGGACAGAAGAGGAGAAGATAACCATGAGGAGAAAGAAACCATGATAAAGGGACATGAAGAAGAGCGAGAAGAGGAATGGGAGGAGGAAGATTAAAAAGAATGAGAGGTAAAGGAAGATGGAGATGAGGAAGAGGAACAAGAAAAGAAAGAGAAATGAGAAAAAGAAGAAAAAAAGAAGAGGGACGAGAAGAGGAAGATGAAAAAGAACAGGAATGGGAAGAGGAACTTAAAGAGGAAGAAAAAGATGAGAAAGAAGATCAATAGGAGGAAGAGGAAGGAAAAGAGGTAAAGGAACAAGAAGAGAAATGAGAAGAAAAAGGGCAAAAGAAACAAGAATTGGAAAATGAACAAAAAGATTAAAAAGAAGCAAGAAGAATAAAAGGAACGGGAAGATTGGGAGGAATGAGAAGAGTAAGAGGAATGAAAGACGGAACAAGAATGATGAGAAGAAAAACAGGAATAGAAATAGGAAGTGGGACAAGAAGAGGACATAGTCGAGAAAAGGATCCTAAAGGGGAAGAGGAACATGAAAAGAAATATGAAAAGGAACATGAAAAGTAGCGTGAAGAGGAATAAGAACAGACGAGAAATGAGAAGTGGACCACGAAGAGGAACAAGAACATGAAGAGAATCATTCAAAGTAGCATGAAGAGAAACAAGAAACAAGAGGAGAAAATAAATAAGAAGAGGAACATGAGAGGTAGCGTGAAGAGAAACAAGAAGAGAAGAAAAACAAGACGAGGATCCTGAAGAGGAAAAGGAAGGGGAAGTGAAACATGCAGAGGACTGTGAGGTACAAGAAGAGAGGAGAAATGAGAAGAGGAACATGAAGAGGAACAAGAACATGAAGAGGATCATTCAAAGTAGCATGAAGAGGCACAAGAAGAGAAAATAAACAAGAAGAGGAACGTAAGAGGTAGCGTGAAGAGAAACGAGAAGAGACGAAAAACAAGAAGAGGATCTTGAAGAGGAAAAGGAAGGGGAAGAGGAACATGAAGAGGAACGTAAAAACTAGTATGAAGAGGTACAAGAAGAAAAGAGAAATGAGAAGAGGACCATGAAGAGGAACAAGAACATGAAGAGGTTCATTCAAAGTAGCATGAAGAGGAACAAGAAGAGAAAAGAAACAATAAGAGGACCATGAAGAGGAACATGAAAAGTGGTGTGAAGAGGCACAAGAAGAGAAAAACAAGAAGAGGAACGTAAGAGGTAGCGTGAAGAGAAACGAGAAGAGAAGAAAAACAAGAAGAAGATCCTGAAGAGAAAGAGGAAGCAGAAGAGAGGAACATGAAGAGGAACGTGAAGAGGTACAAGAAGAGAAGAGAAATGAGAAGAGGAACATGAAGAGGAAAAGGAAGGGGAAGAGGAACATGAAGAGGAACGTGAAGAGGTACAAGAAGAGAAGAGAAATGAGAAGAGGAACATGAAGGGGAAGAGGAGCATGAAGAGGAACTTGAAGAGGTACAAGAAGATAAATGAGAAGAGGAACATGAAGCGGAAAAGGAAGGGGAAGAGGAACATGAAGAGGAACGTGAAGAGGTACAAGAAGAGAAGAGAAATGAGAAGAGGAACATGAAGGGGAACAAGAACATAAAGAGGATCATTCAAAGTAGCATGAAGAGGAACAAAAAGAGAAAAGAAACAATAAGAGGATCATGAAGAGGTACAAGAAGAGAAGAGGAACATGAAGAGGAATGTGAAGGAGAAAGAAGGGGAAGAGGAACATGAAGAGGAACGTGAAGAGGTACAAGAAGAGAAGATAAATCAGAAGAGGAACATGAAGGGGAAAAGGAAGGAGAAGAGAAAATCTTGATACAAGAAGGAGTAACAATCAGGTTTCAGCACTACAGTGAAGATGGAGTCCCTGGAGATGGGCACTCACCTCTGCATTCAATGTCCTGGCAGTAGTTCCCCTCTGGGGTGCAGATACTGGAGGAAGAGATATAATGAAGTCAGAAGGAGACACACAGGTGGAGGAAGCAGCGTCTATCTACCAGAACTCCCCGCACTGCCCCCAATCTGTGGAATTCTCTTCACTACGTTCCACTTTATGTTCTAGAGTATGACATCACACTTTCCAGCCAATGCCTGGTCACTGTTTGCTTCCATTCCAGTTCTCTTCTCCAATCCTCATTCTCCCTCCTGACAGTGCTATCCTCCCTCAATCAGCACCAGGCCTATGGGTAGGCAGAAAAGATGGCTGCCTTGGGTGCTTGAGCAGGAGAAGGGTGCAAAAGGGGCGGAACCTGCAATCTACACAGCTGAGATAGTTTTACAGCCCATCAATGGGGAGGGGGGAGGTTGCACTTTGGCCATTTCAGACCCTGGCTGCACCCCGTATGTGACTTGTCCTTCAGAACAGATCATGTGACCAAGGCCTTCAGACAGGTGGCCAGCAATAAAAGGAGCCCAGAGCAGCATTTTCTCCAGAAAAGATAAATATATCAGCACAAGTAACCCTCTACATCAGGATCCCCATCACAGCCCTCCTAATATCAGGGTCCTCATCAGAGTTCCCCCTTACATCAGGTCAAAGCAGAGACCATAGGCAGCCTCTGGTGACCCGAATCCTCAGTCTGTACATTGGGGGTGTGACCTGACCCTAGCCATGGGCCTAATAAGATCTCACAGTGGGCCAGATTTGACCCGCGGGCCATGGTATGGAGACCCCTGCTACAGAGGAACCCCCAAGGTAGACCCCTCATTTTTATGGATACTGACCACTGCTGACACTCGCCCACCAGCCACACGTCCCCCGTCTGCCGCTCCCAGCCCCCGTGTGGGCACAGCTCCGGGCACCTCCCTGGGTGACACGGGCGGGATTGACTCTCCGGATTCCGGCACTGCTCCCTCTGTGAGCCCGACGTGGAGGTCCTGTACACCGGAGAAGATGGTCAGGATGCTATAATGTACATCATCATAAAGGTCCCCACTGCCGTGAGTCACTGTGAGGAGCACTGCCAACATCACCACATACAATGCCATCGACCACATCATCAGCCCAGCAAAACCCCGCTCGGCTGTTGTCACCTGATACGGGTCTGCTGGCCACTCCCACAGGTGACGGAGCACTGAGACCAGGTGGACCACTGACTCCAGCTGCAGTCGGCGGTGGTGCAGGTGAGGTTGGTGCAGGAGAGGCGTCCATCAGTGCAGGTGCAGTTGTTGCAGTCCTCTTGGAGGGAGCTCTGTGCCGTCCAGCTCCTGCCCCCTGCTGTCTGTGCACTCACACTGCGCCATGGTGACGCACCGGCCGTCCTGCTCCAGCGTTCCTGGGGGACATACGGGACACAGATTGGGGCCCAGCACAGCCACGCGCCACAGAGGAAGAAGAGCGGACAAGACTTACCTGCCTGGCACCTACAGCCCGGCTCACAGCCATCTCCATCCAGGCAGACGATTCCCTGCTGGAAGTCCGAGCAACGCCTGGGGCAGCGATTGGCACACTCCACCTCCTCCATACCCGGCGGGCATCCCTCCTCTATAGGGAGGAAACCACAAAACACCGCAGCCAATAAGGATGATGGGAACATCAAAATACACCAGAACACCAGAACAGGGGATGTGTGGCAGAGATCGCAGCGAGAACGTCTCCTCAGAGCCACCAAAAATGGGAAGATGTCCAAGGGCCACCATCAATGTTATCAAGACGTGCTCCTGATCATATACTCCCCTCCCTGGGTGTGGGCCCCGTGTGTGCGGGTCTCTTCTGGGTATAGATCCCCTCTGTGTGGGTCTCCTTCTGGGTATAGATCCCCTCTGTGTGGGTCTCCTTCTGGGTATAGATCCCCTCTGTGTGGGTCTCCTTCTGGGTATGGGCCCCCTTTGAATGGTTCCCCTTCTGGGTATGGGCCCCTTGTGTGCGGGTCTCTTCTGGGTATGGGCCCCCTGTAAATGGTTCCCCTTCTGGGTATAGATCCCCTCTGTGTGGGTCTCCTTCTGGGTATGGGCCCCCTGTGAATGGTTCCCCTTCTGGGAATGGGTCCCCCTTTGAATGGTTCCCCTTCTGGGTATGGGTCCCTTGTGAATGGTTCTCCTTCTGGGTATGGGCCCCCCTTTGAATGGTTCTCCTTCTGGGTATGGGCCCCCTTTGAATGGTTCCCCTTCTGGGTATGGGCCCCCTTTGAATGGTTCCCCTTCTGGGTATGGGCCCCTTGTGAATGGTTCTCCTTCTGGGTATGGGCCCCCCTTTGAATGGTTCTCCTTCTGGGTATGGGCCCCTTGTGAATGGTTCCCCTTCTGGGTATGGGCCCCTTGTGAATGGTTCCCCGTCTGGGTATGGGCCCCCTGTGAATGGTTCCCTGTCTGGGTATGGGCCTCCGTGAATGGTTCCCCGTCTGGGTATGGGCCCCCTGTTTACTATCTCCTTCACCCTGTGGTTAGGTCTCCAGATGATTGCGGGGCCCCTGTGTGTGGGTCTCCTTCTGGGTATAGGCCCCCTGTGAATGGTTCTCCTTCTGGGTATGGGCCCCCTTTGAATGGTTCTTCTTCTGGGTATGGGTCCCCTTTGAATGGTTCTCCTTCTGGGTATGGGCCCCTTGTGAATGGTTCCCCTTCTGGGTATGGGCCCCTTGTGAATGGTTCCCCTTCTGGGTATGGGCCCCCTGTGAATGGTTCCCCGTCTGGGTATGGGCCCCCTGTGAATGGTTCCCTGTCTGGGTATGGGCCTCCGTGAATGGTTCCCCGTCTGGGTATGGGCCCCGTTTACTATCTCCTTCTAGGTGCAGTCACCCTGTAGTTAGGTCTCCAGATGATTGCGGGGCCCCTGTGTGTGGGTCTCCTTCTGGGTATAGGCCCCCTGTGAATGGTTCCCTTTCTGGGTATGGGCCCCCTGTGAATGGTTCCCCGTCTGGGTATGGGCCCCCTGTGAATGGTTCCCTGTCTGGTTTTGGGCCTCCGTGAATGGTTCCCCGTCTGGGTATGGGCCTCCTGTTTACCATCTCCTTCTAGATGCAGGTACCCTGTGCTTAGGTCTCCAGATGATTGCAGGGCCCCTGTGTGTGGGTCTCCCTCTGGGTGTGGGTACCTGTGAAAAGGTTTCCTTCTGGATGCAGGCCTCCTGTGTATAAGTCTTCCTCTGGTGGGTGCAGGGCCCCCTGTCAATAGGTTTTCCTTAGTGGCCCTTAGTGTATGGAGTTTGCCCCTGGGTGTTGGTGGCCCATGTGTACAGATGGGTCTCCCTCTGAGTGGAGGTCCTCCTGTCTATCAATCTACCCCCAAGCGTGGGCTCCCCTGTGTATGGGGTTCCCTCCTGGGTTTGACCCCCTGTGTATTGGTCTTCACTTGGGTGTGTGGACCTCTTTGTATATAGGTTTATGCCTAGGTGCTGGCCTCATGTAGGGGTCTACCCCTCAGGTGTTTGCCCCACCATTCCCCCATGTATAGGTCTCTCCATGGGTTCCTGTGTATAGATCTCCCCCTGATTGAGGGCCCCCCTGTGTATGGCCTTGATTCACAGTCCAGGTGTGGCTCCTCACCGTGGACTTCACAGTTGCCATGTCTGAGCAGAATTGATGTTGTCAATGGAGTTCAGCTGTTTGTTGGTATGGTCACCCTTGTGGACTCACCGCAGGGTTTTGGGTTGCAGATCCTCACTTGGTACTTCTCACCAGGACACTCATTTCCTCCATTTTTTGGTGGTGGACTTGTACAGGTCCGGCTTCTAACTGATCTTCCTCCACCGCATGTCCGGTCACACCAGGACCATGGACTCCACTTGGACCAGCTGCCATTTACTATACCAGGGGGAATGAGAGAAGGTGGTGGGGGAGAAACTTGTTGAAGGTTATAAAGTATTGTACAGAATATTCTAGAGAGGAACATTTCTCTATTTCCATTGTGCTCCACCATCATGGCCTACAACGTCCAGGTAGCATCTGTACAACCATGAACTCCCGCATCCCCCTCAATCCTCAGCACTCAGCTCTCCATAACCTCCTCACCCAACAGCATCCAGCTCTCCATGACCTCCTCTCACCCAGCTCAATAGCACCCAGCTCTCCAAGATCTCCAAGATCCCCACCCATCAGCACCAAGCTTTCCATGACCTCCCCCATCCAACAGCCCCCAGCTCTCTATGACCTCCTCACTCAATAGCACCCAGCTCTCCAGGACCCCCCCCCCCCCCCCCCCCAACCCAACAGCCCCCAGCTCTCCAAGATCTCCCCACCCATCAGCACCAAGCTCTCCATGACCTCCCCCATCCAACAGCCCCCAGCTCTCTATGACCTCCTCACTCAATAGCACCCAGCTCTCCAGGACCCACCCCCCCCCCCCCCAACAGCCCCCAGCTCTCCAGGATCTCCTCCCAACAGCACCCAGCTCTCCAGGACCTCCCCACCCATCAGTACCAAGCTCTCCATGACCTCCCCCATCCAACAGCCACCAGCCACCCATCAGCCCCAGCTCTCCATAACCTCCCCACCCATCAGCACCCAGCTCTCCATGACCTCCCCACCCAACAGCACCCAGCTCTCCAACCCAGCACCCAGCTCTCCATGACCTCCCCACCCAACAGCACCCAGCTCTCCATGACCTCCCCCACCCAACAGCACCCAGCTCTCCATGACCTCCCCCACCCAACAGCACCCAGCTCTCCATGACCTCGCCACCCAACAGCACCCAGCTCTCCATGACCTCGCCACCCAACAGAGCCCAGCTCTCCATGAGCTCCTCACCCAACAGCACCCAGCTCTCCATGAGCTCCTCACCCAATAGCACTCAGCTCTCCATCAGCTCCTCACCCAACAGCATCCAGCTCTCCAGGACCTACCCCCAACCCACCAGCACCTAGCTCTCCAGGACCTACCCCCACCCACCAGCACCTAGCTCTATAGGACCTAGCCCCACCCACCATCACCCAGCTCTTCAGGACCTTCCACCCCTCACAGCACCCAGCTCTCCAGGATCACTCTGATATGACCATATAATCCCACAATGCACTCCTGTGGGGTGCTCAGCACTACAGTACTCTGCCCATCCCCCAGAGGGCGCTCTCATATTTTAAATTAGATGACACATTCCATCCCCCCTCCCATCTGGTCCCTCTGTTACCTATACACGCCTGCAGGTTGCAGAATCTCCTCTCCGTGTTCCCGGTCAGGATGTCGTCACACCACACTCCCTTCTCACCAGGCGGGTTGTAAGTACGAAGACGTCTCTGTTGTCCCACCCCGCAGGATCGGGAACACTCACTCCACTCTGACCAGGGGTTCCAAGAACAGTTCCGCTGCTGACACTCCTCATCGACACATGGCGGAGAGTCAGGACCTGAGAGGACACCGAACATCCCAATATGAAGAAAAGAACCACCTATGAGGACGGACTTTGTTCACCTCAAGTGAATTTTACATTCCTGTACAAGTCTATGGGAAGGCAAAACCTGCTTAAAGCCAGTCAAATGCAGGTCAGAAGGAAGTCAACTGCAGGTCAGACAGAAGTGAACTGAAGGCAGGTCAGAAGGTCAACTCCAGGTCATAATGAGGTTACCTGAAGGCCAGAAAGAGGTCAACTGAGGGTCAGAAGGTAGTCAACTGAGGGTCAAAAGCAGGCCAGAAGGAAGTCAACTGAACACCATAAAGAGGTCAACTGAAATCCAGACAGAAGCAAACTGAAGGCAGGTCAGAAGGTCAACTCCAGCTCATAATGAGGTTACCTGAAGGCCAGAAAGAGGTCAACTGAGGGTCAGAAGGTGGTCCACTGCAAGTCAGAAGGAGGCCAACTGAGGGTCAAAGGCAGGCCAGAAGGAAGTCAACTGAAGATCATAAAGCGGTCAAACACACCTGTCAGTGAATTCTGACTGATCACAGAGAACATCTCAAACTGACATCAGACTGATGCCTTCAACACAAGCCCGAATCCCAACCATCCCAGCCCATACAGAACAGAGGACTCCAGTTATACCTCCAGGACATCCTGGAATCTCCCGGCATTGTGCGCCCTGTGTTAGTCTGACAGCCCGAGTCCCAATATACTCATTTGTACTAATGTCTCGATCGCTCCAACTGCGTCATTTACTAAAGCTGGAAATATTTCACTGAACCCAAAGGAACCCAATCATGTACGGAGGAACTGAATACATTAGAGTTTTCCTTTCCACATGACCAGGGGCGGACTGACCATTTGGAAACTCGGGCACAGGGTCAGTAGGGGGCCCCATGAGATGCCCCTGGTACCTTTTTCATAAGCTTTTTTGAGTTTGGGCAAGGAAACAGGGGCCCCATGATCCCCTATTGCCCCATGAATTTCAGTCCGCCCCTGTGCATGACTGGATGATCACTGTGAGTATAAAGTCTAATAAATCGAGCCATTGGCTCCTGCTGCTGTCAATCACATGCAGTAAAGAGGAAGTGGGGGCGGGGCTAATCCCACTGTGTAAATCTATGGGGAGCTGCTCCATAGACACACAACTTGGGAGCGAGCAGACACTTCAAACGGCTTGCTATGGGGACACACAAGAAGAGGAGGAGCCAAGAGTGCCAGCGGGGGACCTGAGAAGAGGAGGATTGGGGCCCCTCTGTGTAATGGTGTAACGTGTTTGTTATTTGGATTAAAAACATTTTTTTGACTTTAGTAACACTTTAAGAATGTTTGAGAACACTAGAGGGAAGGAGCACCACTGGCTCCATGTATCTGCTCATTCCCTCTAGTGTTCTCTAGAATTGTTACATTGTTAACAAAGACATATGTATGTTCTCCTCAGCTCCATCTTTGGGCCATGATATTTTTAGGTCTTTAGATCAGCTCTGTTGTACAAGAGACCTATGGGAGGGAGGGGGGGGGGCAGAGAAATGGGGGGCACAATATATTAAGGATGTCCATGAAATCCAACTAGTAAAGGCCATTATAATGGTTGATAAAGCCTGTGATGAGACCTCCATTGCTGACCATTCCTGGTGAAAATGCTGGTTTCCTGGCTGCCATCAGGATTCCATACTAGGGCCAGTGCCAGCTCTATATCATCAGAATAAGTCCTTTCTAGAAGAAGCGAGTTATTGGAAGTCGCCTATTTCTGTCATGTGACTGGAGAATGATAGATATGTATCCGGAACAGAGCTCTCCCCAGGAGGACAACTTCAGCACAACACAGATCTGGTAACAGGAAACCCCGAAGTTATCGGCAGATTTGGGTTGGACAGAATTTGGTCTCAGTCCCTGGCAGGGACTCACCTGTACACTGCGGGAGATTGCAGACGTTCTCCTGGAAGGACTCTCCACTGCAATTCCTTCCAGAGGGACAGAACCGAGACCGCGTCTTCACCGCAGGGAAATGGCGGTCTGAACAGCTCTTGGAACAGGGAGTCCATGGGGACCAGGGGCCAAACTCCTCATCTGCTGGGCCTGCGGAGGAATGGAGAGAGAGATTGCTGAGGGAAGACCAAATGTGTATGACGTAGGAGGATGGAGAACTCCATGTCTGATTATATTGGAGAACTCCATGTCTGATTATATTGGAGAAGAGCTCCATGTCTGAGATGTATATCATGTATGAGGGAGAAGAGCTCCATGTCTGAGATGTATATCATGTATGAGGGAGAAGAGCTCCATGTCTGAGATGTATACAATGTATGAGGGGAGGAGAGCTCCATGTCTGAGATGTATATGATGTATGAGGGAGGAGAGCTCCATGTCTGAGATATATATCATGTATGAGGGAGAAGAGCTCCATGTCTGAGATGTATACAATGTATGAGGGAGGAGAGCTCCATGTCTGAGATGTATATGATGTATGAGGGAGGAGAGCTCCATGTCTGAGATGTATATGATGTATGAGGGAGGAGAGCTCCATGTCTGAGATGTATATCATGTATGAGGGAGAAGAGCTCCATGTCTGAGATGTATATCATGTATGAGGGAGAAGAGCTCCATGTCTGAGATGTATACAATGTACGAGGGAGGAGAGCTCCATGTCTGAGATGTATATGATGTATGAGGGAGGAGAACTCCATGTCTGATTATACTGCATGAGAGCTCCATGTCTGAGATGTATATGATGTATGAGAGAGGAGAGCTTCATGTCTGAGATATATATCATGTATGAGGGAGAAGAGCTCCATGTCTGATTATATTGGAGAAGAGCTCCATGTTTGATTATATTGGAGAGAGCTCCATGTCTGAGATGCATACGATATATGAGGGAGGAGAGCTCCATGTCTGAGATGTATATCATGTATGAGGGAGGAGAGCTCCATGTCTGAGATGTATACAATGTACGAGGGAGGAGAGCTCAATGTCTGAGATCTATACGATGTATGAGGGAGGAGAGCTCCATGTCTGAGATGTATATGATGTATGAGGGAGGAGAACTCCATGTCTGATTATATTGGAGGAGAGCTCCATGTCTGAGATCTATACGATGTATGAGGGAGGAGAGCTCCATGTCTGAGATGTATACGATGTATGAGGGAGGAGAGCTCCATGTCTGATTATATTGGAGAAGAGCTCCATGTTTCATTATATTGTAGGAGAGTTCCATGTCTGAGATGTATATGATGTATGAGGGAGGAGAGTTCCATGTCTGAGATGTATATGATGTATGAGGGAGGAGAGCTCCATGTCTGAGATGTATATGATATATGAGGGAGGAGAGCTCCATGTCTGAGATGTATATGATATATGAGGGAGGAGAGCTCCATGTCTGAGATGTATATCATGTATGAGGGAGGAGAGCTCCATGTCTGAGATGTATACCATGTATGAGGGAGGAGAGCTCCATGTCTGATTATATTGGAGGAGAGCTCCATGTCTGAGATGTATATGATGTATGAGGGAGGACAGCTCCATGTATGAGGGAGGAGAGCTCCATGTCTGAGATGTATATGATATATGAGGGAGGAGAGCTCCATGTCTGAGATGCATATCATGTATGAGGGAGGAGAGCTCCATGTCTGAGACGTATATCATGTATGAGAGCTCCATGCAGGACGTATGGTTGAGTCTGATATCTTGGAAAACCATGATGGGAATGTATAAAGCTTGATCTGATGAGTGACCGCACTCCATTCATCTACCAGACCCCATGTTATGGCATTACCCTCATAGCTGGTGACATGACGGCTCTGAGACTCACCAGCCATGTCAGTGGGGGGCTCCGGGGACCCTGGGGTGACGTCTACAATAAAAACACAATGACAGACATCGCATGAGACACAAAAAATATAATATTCAGGAAAAACTGCATGACATCATCAGAGAGCGGGGCAGTGTGTATGATGTCACAGCTCGTATTGGCTGTAAGTTATAGAATATATCTACAGAAGAAAATACATTTCCACAACAAGGGATTATGGGAGTCTCACCCTCACAGTCCGGTGCCTGGCAGTATTTAATGTCCACACTGGGGCCCTCACATTCTTTGCCCCCATTGGCTGGTGGAGGGTTCGAGCAGTCCCGTGACCTCGTCATATTGCCCAGGCCTCCGCAGGAGACAGAACAGGGGCTCCAGGGAGACCACAAGGTGAAGCCTCCATCCTGAGGACAAGCGGAAAATGCGCACTCCATGTGGCCGTTCTCACACGTGCTGGAGGAAGGAGAGATGAAAATTAAATGCCGCAACATATCACATATATGATAACAGCTCAATGCTTTCTATGAGGAATATAACCGTCCTGACATCACAGAGAAATCTAAACATCTAAAGAGACTTTCTTCCCAGCTTCAGATCACCAGAAGGAGATTTCTCTCCACAACATGTATGTTACGGGGCCCATTGTATCTCTCTGACACTTCCTCATGTTATCTTACCCTTTTTGTCATTCCAGATGGTGTCCATCATGAGAATTTACCTAAAGATTGGAATAAGGGACTTCACCAACTCTAGAGCCGAATTCCTGAGCCACAAAGTCTCGAATGGCCTCATCCTTGGCTAGAGCCATGGCGGATTTTTTCCCATGGTGACAGTATACTTTTGTTGCAGGTATCTGGAGGGAAATTGGTTAAAGCAACCACCTCGAAAGAGGCTGCCATCAACCCCAAGACTTCCATACAGAAACAGATTTAGATGCCTTCTGAACTGAAGAGTTCAAACCTGAGACTGAAGAATCTGAAACTTCTCTTGGGAAAAGGAACACTCTGGCATGATGTGCCCAAGACCAGATCCACCTCTTTGACCTCTGCACAACCAAATATAACTGGTCCCACAGAGCCCTAACAGTTCCCAGCCAGAGATAACTTGTCCCACAGAGCACTCGCCAGCCAGAGATAAGTGTTCCAACAGAGACCTCACCGATGGTTCCCAGCCAGAAATAGGTTGTCCAACAGAATCTTTATCAACTTCCCAGACACAGATAAGTTGACCTACAAAGCCCGAGCCAACTGTTCCTCAACAAGAGGTCTCCAAGTATTACACAATGGCAATAGCACAAGAATGCAATGGGGACAGCATTGGGACCAGCATCTTTGGGAAAACCAAAGGCGCAAAGGATAGGTCAAAGGGAAGGGCCACCACAGGTAGCATAGTAGTCCCAGCTCAAGCACAGAAAGTGTTAGTGACACTGGAAAGATAGGTAACGGTAAGCATCTTTGAGGTCTACTGAAGCTGGTTAAAGCAACCACCGTCGAAAGAGTCTACTATCAACCCCAAGACTTCCATACAGAAACAGATTTAGATGGCTTCTGAACTGAAGAGTTCAAACCGGAGACTGAAGGGTCTGAAGATTCTCCTGGGAAAGGAACACTCTGGCATGATGTGTCCAGGACCAGATCCACCTCTTTGACCTCTGTACAACCAAACATAAATGGTCCCACAGACCCTAACAGTTCCCAGTCAGAGATAACTTGTCCCACATAGCGCTCACCAGCTGTTCCCAGCCAGAGATAAGTTGTCCAACAGAGCCCTCACCGATGGTTCCCAGCCAGATATAGGTTGTCCTACAGAATCTTCACCAACTTCCCAGCCAGAGATAAATTGTCCCACAGAGCCCTCAGCCGATGGTTCCCAGCCAAAAGAGGTTGTCCAACAGAATCTTCACCAATTCCCAGCACAATGGGGAAGCATTGTCCAACATCGAGACCAGCATCGATGGTTCCCAAAGCAGCAAATATAGGTCAAAGGACAGGGCCAACAGGTAATCTTAGTCAGCTCAACAGAAAGTGTTAGTGCCCTGAAAGATAGGTAACGGTACCCATCTTTGAGCCCGAGCCAGGAGGTTCCTTAATGAAGGAAGGCAATTACAAGTATGGATACATCCAATTTGGCCTAATAGCACAAGAATGGAGGTTCAATGGGGACAGCATTGGGACCAGCAACTTTGGGAAAACCAAAGGCGCAAAGGATAGGTCAAAGGACAGGGCCACCACAGGAATAGCATAGTAGTCCCAGCACAGAAAAATGTTAAACTGGAAGGATAGGTAAGCATCTTTGAGGTCTATGAAGCTGGTTAAAGCAACCACACAATCGAAATTTTCTACTATCAACCCCCCAAGACTTCCAACAGAAATCAGATATTTAATGGACTTCTGCTTTAACTGAAGAGTTCAAACCGGTGACTGAAGGATCTGAAGATTCTCCTGGGAAAGGAACACTCTGGCATGAATAATGTCATAACAGATCCACCTCTTTTTACCTCTGTACAACCAAATGCATAAATGACCCACAGAGCCCTAACAGTTCCCAGCCAGAGATAACTTGTCCCACAGAGCGCTCGCCAGCTGTTCCCAGCCAGAGATAAGTTGTCCAACAGAGTCCTCACCGATGGTTCCCAGCCAGAAATAGGTTGTCCAACAGAATCTTCACCAACTTCCCAGCCAGAGATAAATTGACCCACAAAGCCCGAGCCAACTGTTCCTCCTGCTCTGCCAGGCCTTTACAAGAGGTCTTCCAAGTATTACACAGTCTGGCAATAGTGAAAGAATGCAATGGGTGAAGCATTTGGGACCATGAGCCGATAATTTCCCGAAAGCCAAAGGACAAATCCGGATGCTTCTGTCAAAGGGCAGGGCACATCATCAGGTAAATACAAGAGAAGCAGTTCAAGGCAGCCATAAAGCCCCCGCCATGTTAGTGAACCATGAAACTGATGAGGTGGTATGCTGAGGACCATGAGCAGTTCCTACTCCAAGCTTCTCTGAAGGATCAATTGGTACAAGATGATGTGGTACTCATCCTAAAGGATTTGTTCCTAAACTGTGAAGGCTTTTTTACATGTCGTTTGGCAAACTCTAATCTGGCCTTCCAAGATGGGGCGAAATGCCCCATCTGAGTTTTGAAACAGCGAACAGGTTGCAATAAAATTCAAATAGCAAATAAAATTTAGCGAGCGCTCAGAGAATAAAAGCTGCTAGCACCCTAAGCTAAACCAACCCAAAGAAAAATATTGAACATAACAGTTCTGCGCTGAAATACAATCCACATTACGTTTCAGGACATATATAAAAAACGGTGATCAAAAGAAATTTTCAAAACCTGAAAGTAATTAAAAATATCAAAAATTGTGGAAAAGGAATCGCAAAATATATGACCGATACACCCAACAGAGTGACCGAGTGCTACGTTTAAAATTTTGACTAAACATAATTCATAAAGTGATCCAAAAAGTGCTACCTGCAAGAAAAGAATCGAACCGATTTTTCAGCCTAAATGGCTTCACAAATATGTGCCAGCTGATCCAAATCTCATCTCGAGAGTTGCAGCAACAGATCAAATGCAAATAGGGCACCAACTGAACGTTTCTGGACCTTTTATCCCTCATTGAAACGTGGGTGTGCAGGAAACGCATCGGGCCATGGAACAGCTGAGAAGCCAATTGTCCGATTATTTTGGTCCCTTGGATTGGCAAGCCATATGCAAACTGTTGTCATTCCTACATTCCACCTGATTTGGATTTAAATACCCTCAAATTAAAGCTACATTTGCAATAAACGACACTTTATCGTTCATTTCAAATCCATTGGGTGTATAGAGCCAGTGTGGTGAGCCATCTCCCCAGCATCTCTCTTCTGGCCGGCGGCATGACGTCAGCACGTAGGGCTCCAACTGACGCGTTTCGTGGGCGTATCCCTTTGAAGACGTGCGTGTGCAGAAACGCATCGGAGTGACCATGTGCTACGTGCAGAATAAATTTTGACTAAACACAGCCGTGATCCAAAAAGTGCTACCTGCAATCGAACCGATGCGCCGAAACTTTCAAATATACAGCGATCCGATCTCTGAGAAGGCACCAGGAAAGGTCCGTTGTCTGGCAGTTGTGCGTGACCATGCTTCGGTTCTGGTGAGTGCATCGTGGAGGCGGATTACATGAAGATTTGCACCTTTTGGAATACTACAGGCAAATCTGCAAGGAATTTGTTTGGACAGTTCAGTTTATGTCCCTTTACATTTGTTTTTATGGATTATTTGATGAACTTTATTCTTTCAGATTTTTTCTTGCACGTAGCCCTTTGTTGGGTCACTTTACGAATTATATTTGGTCAATATTTATTCTGCACGCAGCACTTTGTCACTCTATTGGGTGTAGCGTTGGGTGGGGCCCTACGTGCTGACGTCACGCCGCCAAGTCCATGCTTGGATCAGCGGCCATATTTGTACGTTTCGGCCGCACCTGTTGGATTTTTTCTTGCGCGTAGCCCTCTTTGGGTCACTTTAGGAGTTATATTTAGTCAATATTTATTCTGCACTTATCACACAGTCACTCTATTGGGTGTAGCGTTGGGTAGAGCCCTACGTGCTGACGTCACGCCGCACTTATCACACAGTCACTCTATTGGGTGTAGCGTTGGGTGGAGCCCTACGTGCTGACGTCACGCCGCACTTATCACACAGTCACTCTATTAGGTGTAGCGTTGGGTGGAGCCCTACGTGCTGACGTCACGCCGCACTTATCACACAGTCACTCTATTGGGTGTAGCGTCGGGTGGAGCCCTACGTGCTGACGTCACGCCGCACTTATCACACAGTCACTCTATTGGGTGTAGCGTTGGGTGGAGCCCTACGTGCTGACGTCACGCCGCACTTATCACACAGTCACTCTATTGGGTGTAGCGTTGGGTGGAGCCCTACGTGCTGACGTCACGCCGCACTTATCACACAGTCACTCTATTGGGTGTAGCGTTGGGTGGAGCCCTACGTGCTGACGTCACGCCGCACTTATCACACAGTCACTCTATTGGGTGTAGCGTTTATATATTTTGTGATTCCCTTTCCACTCTTTTTGTATTGTTAATGACTTTCAGGTTCTATGAATTTATTTTGATCACCGTTTTCTGGATTGTATGCTACACAGGGGCAGACTGACAATTTATGGGGCCCCCGGGCAATAGGGGATCATGGGGCCCCTGTGTCCTTGCCCAAAAAAGTCTATGAAAAAGGTACCAGGGGCATCTCATGGACCCCCTACTGACCCCGAGCCCTCGGGCAGTGCCCGATTTTCCAAATGGTCAGTCCGCCCCTGGTGCTACGTCAGTGCAGCACTCTTATGTTACATAGGTTGCAGTAGAAGCCCTGGAACCGTCCTGCTGTAGGGACTGAGGCAATGACACCTTGATCCAGGAGACCTGAAAGGGGTGAAGGAGATCTTCTAGTCTGTGTGGAGAAACAGGAAGGTTGGAAGTGAGAAAAAACGAGGAGAAGACAAGCAAAGAAACGTCCGTCTGTAGCCTTGGTACACCTCCTTGCACCCAGGCATCTAGAATACAAGCTGTCAAGGTGCCAGAAAATGTCAACAGGTGACCCCCAACTCTGGAAAATGGGGCAGCACCTTCATGGAAAGGAAGGCTTATCTGAGTATCTGGCCGACGTGGAATACCAGGCTGTGCCGGAGGACGGGAAGCCGAGCTTGGAGGGCCTCAACGCTGAAGTTGAGGTGAGAGAGAAACCAATGGAAGATGAATATGCAGTCTGCACCCCCGGCTTTTTTTCACCAGGAAAAACGGGTTCTCCTGCCTTTAATAGCATTCTTGATGATATTACCCAAAGTGGGCCCCAAAGACAACATCCCTCAAAGGCCAAATTACTCAAACAATTCTTGCAGTAGAGAACTTTAGCCAAGTTGCCCTAAGCATGTCGGGAAGAACGTGTAAGAAGTCATACTGGAGGCCCCAGTGAACTATCACAACTGAAATGTAACACTACAGCCATCTGCTCCACATAATCATCGAGCAAGGGATCAGCGTCAGTGTTGGCGAGCTCCTTTTTTTAAGGATTTTGACCAGTCAGACCTGGTTTGATGAAATAAAGCCAGAATCAGGTGCACAGCGGGACCCACCACACAGGACTCTGGAAAGAGCTTCCAACCGCTTATCAGTTGGGTTCCTAAAGGCAGTTGCGTCCTTCGACAGTATGGTGGTCACCTTGGTAAGGCTAGACATGGCGGAATCCAATGTGGGAATGGACCAATTCTGAACAAACTCCTCACAAAATGGATACAAAGCCAGTAACCGCATAGGGGGGACAAACCGCTTACCAGGATGTGCTTCCAATCTCTTTAGACAAACAATTAGAACAGAGAAAGTCTTTGCAGCTTTAGGAACCCTATACAACCCAAGGATGGAAACCACACTGGTAGAAGTAACAGGCTAATCCTCTAGCTTCGGAGTGGCATGCATGGCAACAATAGGAGCCAAATTGCTCTCCTTTAACTTGGGAGTAATAGCAGAAGACTGCAACCTCTCAGGGGTAAGCTCACTAGCCAAAGATTTGAGTTCGACTCTCCGTGACCAATGGCTCAGAAGCCACCAAGAAGAAAGCATGGATATCAGACACTAGCCCAGGGGTCTGCAACCTTTAAGACATAAAGAGCCACTTGGACCCGTTTCCGAGAGGGAAAAAAAGACTGGGAGCCGCAAAACCATTGCAACATTTAAAACAAATCCGACACTGCATATGTTGCGAAAAGCGCTCTGGTCATGAAGGGGGCCCAGTAAGCAAAGGGTTAACCAGGGCCACAGTGTATCGTCATAATCACAATCATAGCCTTAGGTCAGTGGTGGGCAACCTTTTTTTTCAACTGAGCCAAATCTCACCAAAACCACGATTGAAATTTATTTTGAGAGAAACATTTTTAAAACTGAAAATACATCCCCCATATAGTAATTCATCCCCCATAGTAATTCACCCCCCATAGTAATTCATCCCCCATAGTAATTCATCCCCCATATAGTAATTCATCCCCCATATAGTAATTCATCCCCCATATAGTAATTCATCCCCCATAGTAATTCATCCCCCATATAGTAATTCATCCCCCCTATAGTAATTCATCCCCCCTATAGTAATTCATCCCCCATAGTAATTCATCCCCCATAGTAATTCATCCCCCATATAGTAATTCATCCCCCATAGTAATTCATCCCCCATATAGTAATTCATCCCCCCTATAGTAATTCATCCCCCATATAGTAATTCATCCCCCATAGTAATTCATCCCCCATATAGTAATTCATCCCCCATAGTAATTCATCCCCCCTATAGTAATTCATCCCCCCATAGTAATTCATCCCCCATATAGTAATTCATCCCCCATAGTAATTCATCCCCCATATAGTAATTCATCCCCCATAGTAATTCATCCCCCATATAGTAATACATCCCCCATAGTAATTCATCCCCCATATAGTAATTCATCCCCCCTATAGTATTTCATCCCCCCTATAGTAATTCATCCCCCATATAGTAATTCATCCCCCATAGTAAATTCATCCCCCATATAGTAATTCATCCCCCATAGTAATTCATCCCCCATATAGTAATTCATCCCCCATAGTAATTCATCCCCCATAGTAATTCATCCCCCCTATAGTATTTCATCCCCCCTATAGTAATACATCCCCCATATAGTAATACATCCCCCATAGTAATTCATCCCCCATATAGTAATTCATCCCCCATAGTAATTCATCCCCCCTATAGTATTTCATCCCCCCTATAGTATTTCATCCCCCCTATAGTATTTCATCCCCCCTATAGTATTTCATCCCCCATAGTAATTCATCCCCCCTATAGTATTTCATCCCCCCATATAGTAATTCATCCCCCCTATAGTAATTCATCCCCCATATAGTATTTCATCCCCCATATAGTAATACATCCCCCATATAGTAATTCATCCCCCATAGTAATTCATCCCCCATATAGTAATTCATCCTCCATATAGTAATTCATCCCCCATATAGTAATTCATCCCCCATATAGTAATTCATCCCCCATAGTAATTCATCCCCCCTATAGTAATTCATCCCCCCTGTGTCAATTCACTTACCTTTGCTCCGCGCGTTCCTCTAGCTGTGTTCCCGCGCCGTTCTGGTCTTCAGGGCGGACTGTGAGAGGAGAGGAGTTCGTCACGCTGCCCCGCCTACATCCTGACAGCCAATGTTTGGAGGAGGGAGGGGAGCGGGCGCCCGGCACATAGAAGAGCTGCATTAAAAGAGTTGCGGCTTGCCGACCCTATTGCCTGTCACCTGGTGGGCAGTGTGCTCCGGAGCCGCAGGAAAGGTGAAAAAGAGCCGCATGCGGCTCCGGAGCCGCGGGTTGCCGACACCCGCACTAGCCCCATCAGCAAGCGTACTGTAAGCAGCACTGACGCCATCAGAAGAAGCTAAGCTGAGGGCACTTGGCACAGCGGGACTGACCCCCCACCACCCGTGTCTACAATCAGGCCTATTCCCCCCACCAAGCAGATAGGCAATATACAACATACACGTTCAGGGTAAGACACAAGGTCTCAAGGACTCATGAAACCCGGACAGCTGGTAATAGGTCAGTGACTGGAGGGTCAAACGACTGAAGGTGACCAAAGCTGCTGTATGTGGGCAGCAGAAGCAGTTTTGAAGATCAAAGATCCACATGGCACTTTGTAGTAGGAGCAGCTGGAGGGAGATACTTCCTCGACGTATGGTGGCAAAGAGAGCGTGGTCTACTAGTGCAACACTCCACCTGGCGGATGATGTCAAAGATCAGTCCCACAGCATTAACCCCTTTATACAGCAAGGCTGGTGGAAAACCGAGAACATTGGCATCCAGCGACCAATAAAAATAACGGACCTCCCAGAGCTACTCGTTAAATGAGTCTTCAGAGAATTCCTGAGACTGTGCCAGCAGCTCTGGACCTGGAAAGCACTCTGCAGCGAATCTTTTCCAGAACTGAGTCTGGAAAGCGGCCCACATGGAACCCAGTGCCTGAAGGTCACTTGCACCATCCAATCCAGTGGGGTCTGGTTGCAGGACAACCATGCTGTATAGCTGCAATTTGGAGGGGAAACCACCAGCAATGCTGCGGAGAAGAGTCTTGGTTGGAGAAAAAAGAAAAATCACAGGTAGGTCTTTGGAACAGCAGAGCTGAAGAAAGAAGGTCCATCAGAAAAAGTTGAGCCACGCTGGTAGTACGAGGGGTTACCCTGGTTGTGCTAGTGTCCTATCCGCCTGTAGGTGGCAGTACAAGCTAAGAGATAAAGACTTCCCATGTCCCTCAATGGAAGGCCCATAATCCTGCATTGCCGTGATATTTTACCAGCTTTCCACTGCTGCAGGTCACACACTCTTCCAAAGGACCACGATGTGATGAAATACAACGTTTAGATGGAGCGGACAAACATCCCCCATTATAGCTCAGTTTGGCCTGCTGGGAGTTGTAGTTCTCTGGGGTTCCCTATTCCCGGAGTCCTTACCAGGAGCTGCAGCCGTGGTGGATCTGGTCTCCCGAAGTCACCTCTTCTCCCGGAATGAGCTCAGCTCCATGGAGGGTGACCTGCGAAGGTGGATGGGGTGTGGCACCAGGCGTGGCATTCCTCAGTCCCCGTAGAATCTCTTCCGTCACCACACATGGACAATCCTGAACCAGACAGGAACAAAAGTATTCATACGTGGAGCAGATAGGACATCACCAATACACTGCCGACCACTGAACATTCGGTATCAATAAGTGAGCGGTGCTCAGAATGAATATGATACGGCCGTAGTCACACCCCAAGCCCAAAACTGACCTACTGGAACCTCGAACCACCAAGCTGAACTCCATCCTTCCCTCCAGTCCTGCACTCACATGTGAGAGACGTTTTGGCAGGCTGGCCGCATACAGGGGCCCAAAATCCAATGACCACCTTCAGGCTTTTAAAGGGCTTTATTCTCTCATTACACTTCCTGACTACCTATCACAGTTTCGGAGGCCCTGAAATGCCAGGACAGCACCAAACCCCCCAAATGACTCCTTTTTTGGAAAGTAGACACCCCATTGAATTCGATAAGAAGCATGGTGAGTATTTTACAGATCTCGAGAGGGCTCTTGGGAGCAGGGGCAGACTGACCATTTGGAAACTCAGGCACTGCCCGAGGGCCCGGGGTCAGTAGGGGGCCCCATGAGATGCCCCTGGTACCTTTTGCATAGGTTTTTTTGAGTTTGGGCATGGACACAGGGGCCCCATGATCCCCTATTGCCCGGGGGCCCCATGAGTTGTCAGTCCGCCCCTGCTTGGGAGTACTGAGGCAGGGTGCTGGGATGTTTTCAGGAAGCTATGTACAGCACCTTGCCGGCCCCTCCTATCAGCCATGATGTTGGCATACATTGCATAGAGAAGCACAGGGACCCAGTGATTACATCACCGGCTCTAAAATAAGTTGTGTAATGAAAATTAAAAGGTTCTAGTTCAAAATATCATTTTCATGTTGGGGGGGAGAGGGGAGGAGCCAGGGAAGGCAAAGGGTACACCGAACAAACTTCAGCTTTACAATCTCTGTCAAAAAGTTGGGGGTTTTTTTTTTTGGGGGGGGGGGGGATTTGGATGAAGCAGGAAATGGTTCAAACCCCCGTCAGATTTATTTGCTGTCCTATTGGAAAGATTTTCCCTTTCTTCGAGTCTCAGAGACAACAGGAAGTGAAATTCCTTCTTAGACAGTTGTCACCAGACCGGTGTCCCCATTGGAACAATGGTGACCAGGACAGTGGGAGAGGAGGAATCTCACCAATGTGGACACAGACAGCCAGAAAACCTGACAGGGGGTCCAACTCTTCACAACTCCACCCAAAATACGAAAACAAAAAATTAGCAAGAGAATGACCAAGCCTAGCCCCTCCCCCGGCCCTGGTCAGTGTGGTGACCCCTTCGATTATTATGGTGTCATTCAGGGGCGGACTGACAACTCATAGGGCCGCTGTGTCCTTGCCCAAACTCAAAAAGGACTATAAAAAAAAGGTACCAGGGGCATCTCATGGGGCCCCCTACTGACCCCGGGCCCTCGGGCAGTGCCGCCCCTGGTGTCATTACTGCTGTCCACCAAAAACATCACAAGCCAGAAGGAGCCAACCCTAAACTGTATCATCTCTCCTGAGCGTCCACGTGGAACGCCCTCACAAGAGTCACATGACTTGAAGCCTCACCGTGATGCAGGATCCGTTGTGGAAGTAGGTGCCCAGCGGGCAGTGACACCCTTCCTCACACTCATCCGGGAAGCACTCCACCTGCTGGGTGAGGTGGGCGCAACTGTAGGGGCAGCTGTCGTCCTTCCCACATTCGCGGTACAACCGGTCGATCGGACAGCCAACATCTGGAAACACGGAACAGCCAATCAGCAGCCTCACCATCGGTGACAAGGAGACACCCCTATAGTGGAGTGACTACGAGAGAGAACATCGCTCCAAGACTTTTCTATTTCCAGCTGGCGGGGGAGGGGGGGGGGGGCAGTGGCACGACTCCCACCTCAGGGTCCTAGTCTAAGCGAATATCCGGACGATGGGAGTCGCTGAGACAATCACCAGGTGGACAGTCACTCCGCCATCTTGTCCTAGGACAGGTACTCACCTAGGCAAACTTGGCTGTTGCACATCCTGCTTTGGATGGCGTTTCCTTCACATTCCTGATGCCGACATTCTCGTACCCGGATCTGCTCCCCTCCCCCGCAGCTAAGACTACATGGAGACCACGGGGACCACTCGCTCCAAGGATCCGGTTCTGTATTGAACGAAGACACAACGGGCGCAAGGGGTTCAGGAATCGGTATCAGCCCTATGGTCGTGTGTGTGTGGTGTACAAAGGACAGTCCTTGTCTCACCGGGACAGGCGGGCCCCTGGCAGTGCCTCTGCTGCTTTTCACCCCCCATGCATGCTCTTCCACCATTTTGTGGAGCTGGACTGTCACATTTCCTCCTACGGGTCTGGATGCCATCTCCACAGCTTGAAGAACATGAGGACCACAAACTCCAAGGACCCCAACCGCCATCCAGAACACAACGCGGGTCGAAAGTGCAGAGCAAGCGGCCATCAACGCAGGTGCTGGAACAAGAACAATCTTCTTTAATATCTACAAAGAGAGACGTGGCCTTCACCCCGACCTCTCCTGACCCCGACCTCTCCTGACCCCGACCTCTCCTGACCCCGACCTCTCCAGACCCCGACATCTCCTGACCCCGACCACTCCTGACCCCGACCTCTCCTGACCCCGACATCTCCTGATCCCGACCTCTCCTGACCCCGACCTCCTGACCCCGACCTCTCCTGACCCCGACCTCTCCTGACCCCGACCTCTCCTGACCCCGACATCTCCTGACCCCGACCTCTCCTGACCCCCACATCTCCTGACCCCCGACATCTCCTGACCCCGACCTCTCCTGACCCCGACATCTCCTGACCCCGACATCTCCTGATCCCGACCACTCCTGACCCCGACCTCTCCTGACCCCGACCTCTCCTGACCCCGACATCTCCTGATCCCCGACCTCTCCTGACCCCGACCTCTCCTGACCCCGACCTCTCCTGACCCCGACCTCTCCTGACCCGACCACTCCTGACCCCGACCTCTCCTGACCCCGACTCTCCTGACCCCGACCTCTCCTGATCCCGACCTCTCCTGACCCCGACATCTCCTGACCCCGACATCTCCTGACCCCGACCTCTCCTGACCCCGACCTCTCCTGACCCCGACATCTCCTGACCCCGACCTCTCCTGACCCCAACATACCAATTCTGACATTGAAGAATCACACTCTCTCCAGACGGTAGATACTGCCAGGGCTCCGGACCGGACCAGGCGGAGCTGTTACCAGACTCTGACCCTCCTATAGAACAGAAGAGAGAAAACATGAGACACTCTATGCATGGAGAACGTTCCGTGCAACTACTACAACCGTCACATCCCTCAACAGAAGAGGGAAAACATGAGACACTCTATGCATGGAGAACGTTCCGTGCAACTACTACAACCGTCACATCCCTCAACAGAAGAGGGAAAACATGAGACACTCTATGCATGAAGAACGTTCCGTGCAACTACTACAACCGTCACATCCCTCAACAGAAGAGGGAAAACATGAGACACTCTATGCATGGAGAACGTTCCGTGCAACTACTACAACCGTCACATCCCTCAACAGAAGGGGGAAAACATGAGACACTCTATGCATGGAGAACGTTCCGTGCAACTACTACAACCGTCACATCCCTCAACAGAAGGGGAAAACATGAGACACTCTATGCATGGAGAACGTTCCGTGCAACTACTACAACCGTCACATCCCTCAACAGAAGGGGGAAAACATGAGACACTGTATGCATGGAGAACGTTCCGTACAACTACTACAACCGTCACATCCCTCAGCAGAAGGAACACAACTGGAAATCCTCCAAAAATGAAGAGCTGCTGAGGATTCCAGTGAGAGTGGGGTTTTGGTGATAGCACTGGTTGGGTGTTGGAGATCTCTCGGTATTGGTGATAGCAGTGAGTTGGGTGTTGGAGGGTCCCCGGTATTGGTGATAGCAGTGGTTGGGTGATGGAGGTCCCCCCGGTATGGTATTGGTGGGTAGCAGTGGTTGGGTGGGTGTTGGTGATCTCTCGGTATTGGTGATAGCAGTGGTTGGGTGTTGGTGATCTCTCCGATTGGTGGTAGCAGTGGTTGGGTGTTGGTGATCTCTCGGTATTGGTGATAGCAGTGGTTGGGGTGTTGGTGATCTCTCGGTATTGGTGATAGCAGTGGTTGGGTGTTGGTGATCTCTCGGTATTGGTGATAGCTAGAGATGAGCGAAGTATCCCCCCTTCGATTCGGCTGATTCAGGAAGAAATTCGATTCGATGCGAATTTTATTCGCTACGAAGATGACTTATAAAAAGGGTTTCTAGGCTTCAGAGAGCCTTTAAATTAGTGCAGAAGGAGAAGGATGAGAAGGTTGATGAAGGAGAAGGATGAGAAGAAGGAAGGAGAAGGATGAGAGAATGAAGGAGAAGGATGAGAAGAAGGAGAAGGATGAGAAGAAGGATGAGAAGAAGGATGAGTAAGAAGAAGGATGAGAAGGATGTGAAAGGAGAAGGATGAGAAGAAGGAGAAGGATGAGAAGAAGGAGAAGGATGAGAAGAAGGAGAAGGATGAGAAGAAGGAGAAGGAGAAGCAGAAGGAGAAGGATGAGAAGAAGGAGAAGGAGAAGGATGAGAAGAAGGAGAAGGTGTTGAGAAGAAGGAGAAGATGAGAAGCAGGAGAAGGATGAGAAGAAGGAGAAGCAGAAGGAGAAGAGAAGGATGAAAGAAGGAGAAGGAGAAGGATGAGAAGATGGAGAAGGAGAAGGATGAGAAGAAGGATGAGAAGAAGGAGAAGGATGAGAAGAAGGAGAAAGGATGAGAAGAAGGAGAAGGATGAGAAGCAGGAGAAGGAGAAGAAGATGAGAAGAAGGAGAAGGATGAGAAAGAAGGAGAAGGATGAGAAGAAGGAGAAGCAGAAGGAGAAGGATGAGAAGAAGGAGAAGGAGAAGGATGACCCAGATGGAGAAGGAGAAGGATGAGAAGAAGGAGAAGGATGAGAAGAAGGAGAAGGATGAGAAGAAGGAGAAGGATGAGAAGAAGGAGAAGGAGAAGGATGAGTGGAGAAGGATGAGAAGAAGGAGAAGGAGAAGGATGAGAAGAAGTGAGAAGGATGAGAAGAAGGAGAAGGATGAGAAGAAGGAGAAGGAGAAGGATGCTTGAAGGAGAAGGATGAGAAGAAGGAGAAGGATGAGAAGAAGCAGGGATGAGAAGAAGGATGAGAAGAGGATGAGAAGAAGGAGAAGGATGAGAAGGTGGAGCAGGATGGAAGATTGGGAAGGATGAGAAGAAGGAGAAGGATGAGAAGAAGGAGAAGGATGGGAAGAAGGGAAGGATGAGAAGTAAGGAGAAGGATGAGAAGAAGGAGAAGGATGAGGAAGGAGAAGGATGAGAAGAGGGAGAAGGATGAGAAGAAGGATGAGAAGAGGATGAGAAGAAGGAGAAGGATGAGAAGAAGGACAGTTCTGTGACAGTTTCTGTCTATTTCTGACAGTTCTGGGACATTCCCTCCATACAGCGGTTTCCGGCAAAAAGTGTATGTGCAGAGTTCCTCTATTCTGCAGATACACTTTTTGCCGGCTTGGAATTAATCTTATTTTCATCCTACTTCTTCTTCTTCTTCTTCTTCTTCATCCTCATCCTGTTCTTCTTCTGAGGATGAGGATGAAGAAGTAGAAGAAGAAGAAGAAGTAGGATGAAAATAAGAATAATTCCAAGCCGGCAAAAAGTGTATCTGCAGAGTCTCCTCTAAGTGTATGTGCAGAGCTCCTCTAAGTGTATGTGCAGAGTTCCTCTATTTCTGACAGTTCTCTGACAGCTCCTTCACATGTACAGTGGTTGAAACATCTGTATCCTAAATGGAAACTAATAGATACAATGTTTCAACCGCTGTACATGTGTTCCTTCTGTCAGAGAACTGTCAGAAATAGCGGAGCTCTCTGCAGGGACACTTTTGCCGGCTGATCGGGAAATATTCGATTCGCGCTTGGTGATAGCAGTGGTTGGGTGTTGGCGATCTCTCAGTATTGGTGGTAGCAGTGGTTGGGTGTTGGCGATCTCTCAGTATTGGTGGTAGCAGTGGTTGGGTGTTGGCGATCTCTCGGGATTGGTGATAGCAGTGGTTGGGTGTTGGCGATCTCTCGGTATTGGTGGTAGCAGTGAGTGGGTGTTGGGGATCCCCCGGTATTGGTGATAGCAGTGGTTGGGTGTTGGTGATCTCTCGGTATTGGTGATAGCAGTGGTTGGGTGTTGGCGATCTCTCAGTAGTATTGGTGATATTGCAGTGGTTGGGTGTTGGCGATCTCTCGGTATTGGTGGTAGCAGTGGTTGGGTTTGGGGATCCCCGGTATTGGTGATAGCAGTGGTTGGGTGTTGGTGATCTCTCCCGGTATTGGTGATAGCAGTGGTTGGGTGTTGGTGATCTCTCGGTATTGGTGGTAGCAGTGGTTGGGTGTTGGTGATCTCTCGGTATTGGTGATAGCAGTGGTTGGGTGATTGGGGATCTCTCGGTATTGGTGATAGCAGTGGTTGGGTATTGGGGGTCCCCCGGTATTGGTGGTAGCAGTGAGTGGGTATTGGGGGTCCCCCAGTATTGGTGGTAGCAGTGAGTGGGTATTGGGGGTTCCCCCAGTATTGGTGGTAGCAGTGAGTGGGTATTGGGGGTCCCCAGTATTGGTGGTAGCAGTGAGTGGGTATTGGGGGTCCCCCAGTATTGGTGGTAGCAGTGAGTGGGTATTGGGGGTTCCCCAGTATTGGTGGTAGCAGTGAGTGGGTATTGGGGGTTCCCCAGTATTGGTGGTAGCAGTGAGTGGGTATGGTGGTAGCAGTGAGTGGGTATTGGTGGTAGCAGTGGTTGGGTGTTGGGGGTCCCCCAGTATTGGTGATAGCAGTGAGTGGGTATTGGGGGTCCCCCAGTATTGGTGGTAGCAGTGAGTGGGTATTGGGGGTTCCCCAGTATTGGTGGTAGCAGTGAGTGGGTATTGGGGGCCCCCCAGTATTGGTGGTAGCAGTGGTTTGGTATTGGGGGTCCCCCAGTATTGGTGGTAGCAGTGGTTGGGTATTGGGGGTCCCCCAGTATTGGTGGTAGCAGTGGTTGGGTGTTGGGGGTCCCCCAGTATTGTTGGTAGCAGTGGTTGGGTATTGGGGGGTCCCACAGTATTGGTGGTAGCAGTGGTTGGGTGTTGGGGGTCCCCCAGTATTGGTGGTGGTAGCAGTGGTTGGGTGTTGGGGGTCCCCCAGTATTGGTGATAGCAGTGAGTGGGTATTGGGGGTCCCCCAGTATTGGTGGTAGCAGTGAGTGGGTATTGGGGGTTCCCCAGTATTGGTGGTAGCAGTGAGTGGGTATTGGGGGCCCCCCAGTATTGGTGGTAGCAGTGGTTTGGTATTGGGGGTCCCCCAGTATTGGTGGTAGCAGTGGTTGGGTATTGGGGGTCCCCCAGTATTGGTGGTAGCAGTGGTTGGGTATTGGGGGTCCCCCAGTATTGGTGGTAGCAGTGGTTGGGTGTTGGGGGTCCCCCAGTATTGTTGGTAGCAGTGGTTGGGTATTGGGGGTCCCACAGTATTGGTGGTAGCAGTGAGTGGGTATTGGGGGTCCCACAGTATTGGTGGTAGCAGTGGTTGGGTATTGGGGGTCCCCCAGTATTGGTGGTAGCAATGATAGGAGGTTGTCCATGTTTGGCAATCCCCTTAGTGTACACACACATGACTGACACCGTATTATCGATCGTTGCTCTGGTCACCCACCTGGCGATCGGTTCTGGTACTTGCACCGGCATTCACTTGACTCCATGCACGCCCCATCCTGCATCAGCTGACCTTCAGGACACCCACATGAGGGCTGACACTCCGCACTCTCCAGGCACACGGCGTCTCCATGGAGATCATCACAGGAGCGAGGACACGGCTTACCACACGGAAAGTCTACCAGACCGCCATCACATTCTGCAAGACGAACAAATAGTTACAGTGGGAGGAATAGTGCCCCATCATTGGTGTCATTGGGAGGAATAGTGCCCCATCATTGGTGTCAGTGGGAGGAATAGTGCCCCATCATTGGTGTCATTGGGAGGAATAGTGCCCCATCATTGGTGTCAGTGGGAGGAATAGTGCCCCGTCATTGGTGTCATTGGGAGGAATGGTGCCCCGTCATTGGTGTCAGTGGGAGGAATGGTGCCCCGTCATTGGTGTCAGTGGGAGGAATGGTGCCCCGTCATTGGTGTCAGTGGGAGGAATGGCGCCCCGTCATTGGTGTCAGTGGGAGGAATGGCGCCCCGTCATTGGTGTCAGTGGGAGGAATGGTGCCCCGTCATTGGTGTCAGTGGGAGGAATGGCGCCCCGTCACTGCTGTCAGCGGGAGGAATGGCGCCCCATCATTGGTGTCAGCGGGAGGAATGGTGCCCCGTCATTGGTGTCAGCGGGAGGAATGGCGCCCCGTCATTGCTGTCAGCGGGAGGAATGGCGCCCCGTCATTGGTGTCAGCGGGAGGAATGGCGCCCCGTCATTGCTGTCAGCGGGAGGAATGGAATTGGTGTCCCGGGAGGAATGGCATTGGTGTCAGCGGGAGGAATGGCGCCCCGTCATTGGTGTCAGCGGGGAGGAATGGCGCCCCGTCATTGGTGTCAGCGGGAGGAATGGTGCCCCGTCATTGGTGTCAGCGGGAGGAATTGGTGTCCCGTCATTGGTGTCCCGTCAGGAATGCCCCGTCATTGGTGTCAGTGGGAGGATTGGGAGGATGTGTCCCGTCATTGGTGTCAGTGGGAGGAATGGTCATTGGTGTCAGTGGAAGGAATGGTGTCCCGTCATTGGTGTCAGTGGGAGGATTGGTGTCCCGTCATTGGTGTCAGTGGGAGGAATAGTGCCCCGTCATTGGTGTCAGTGGAAGGAATGGTGTCATTGGTGTCAGTGGGGAGGAATGGCGCCCCGTCATTGGTGTCAGTGGGAGGAATGGTGCCCGTCATTGGTGTCAGTGTCAGTGGGAGGAATGGCGCCCCGTCATTGGTGTCAGTGGGGAGGAATGGCGCCCCGTCATTGTCAGTGGGAGGCGCCCCGTCATTGGTGTCAGTGGGAGGAATGGCGCCCCGTCATTGGTGTCAGTGGGAGGAATAGCGCCCCGTCATTGGTGTCAGTGGGAGGAATAGCGCCCCGTCATTGGTGTCAGTGGGAGGAATAGCGCCCCGTCATTGGTGTCAGTGGGAGGAATAGTGCCCCAGGAATAGCGCCCCGTCATTGGTGTCAGTGGGAGGAATAGTGCCCCACATTGGTGTCAGTGGGAGGAATAGTGCCCCCATCATTGGTGTCAGTGGGAGGAATAGTGCCCCGTCATTGGTGTCAGTGGGAGGAATAGTGCCCCGTCATTGGTGTCAGTGGGAGGAATAGTGCCCCGTCATCAGTGGGAGGAATAGGCCCCGTCATTGGTCAGTGGAGGAATAGTGCCCCGTCATTGGTGTCAGTGGGAGGAATAGTGCCCCATCATTGGTGTCAGTGGGAGGAATAGTGTGCCCCATCATTGTGCCCCATGTGTCAGTGGGGAATAGTGTCCCATCATTGGTGTCAGTGGGAGGAATAGTGCCCCATCATTGGTGTCAGTGGGAGGAATAGTGTCCCATCATTGGTGTCAGTGGGAGGAATAGTGCCCCATCATTGGTGTCAGTGGGAGGAATAGTGTCCCATCAGTGTCCCCATCATTGGTGTCAGTGGGAGGAATAGTGCCCCATCATTGGTGTCCCATCATTGGGTCAGGGGAATAGTGTCCCATCATTGGTGTGTCAGTGGGAGGAATAGTGCCCCATCATTGGTGTCACTCGGAGGAATAGTGCCCCATCATTGGTGTCGGTGGGAAATCCTGCCCAATGTTGGTATCAGTAGGAGAAATAGCACTCCAAGGGCCAGATGAAGGCCGGCAAAGTGCCATATCGGGCCCCCAAGTCCCAGTTTGGAGACCCCAGGTCTATACTATAACCACCTGCACCCCATTACCTGAGCACTGTGTGATGTTGGGGTGACAATTTCTGCTCTGCCGGGACTCTCCTTCACATGGAGCGCCCCCAAACCTCACAGGGGGGTTACTGCACTGTCTAGTCCTCACAGAGTCCACAGAGCAGGTGTCACACTCTGACCAGGGACCCCAGGGGCTCCACTGGCCGTTCACTGAGGAGAAAAGAAAGATGACGTTACGGACACGCGTGTCACGTGTGAGGCAGTTGCGGTACATACGTGCTCTATTCCTTACCTGGGCAAAAAGAAGGTGAGGGGCACTCCTTCCTCTCCAGCTGCACTCCCGTATCACCAAAATACTGCTGCACCCCACCACAGTGCTCTCCTCCACCAAGCGGTTTAGGACAGGCACAGCTCCGGTACCTGGTCACCATCTCTGTACCACACGTCCTAGAACACGGGGTCCAGTCTGACCAATCACACCAGCCTCCAGCCACTGACAACACAAGAAAAGAGAGCAGACGGTACAACATCTGACCACTACAGGGGTCTTCACAAAGTTCAAATTGTCCACCTCTGACCATACCTAGCCTAAGGACCCCCATAAAGTGACCATCAGCCAGTCCAGCCAATGATGAATGCTTAGTCTATGGTCACATGATTGTCCAACTAAACACAGATATCCTCACAGCCCAGACATGTCTAAAGGATGCCAGTCTTGTCCAGGACCGTGTGACTCTTCCACAGTCCTCAGATCTGCTAGATCAGGTCCTCAGGTCTTCACTAAGGCCAGCAGTTAGAGGATTTGACTCGGGTGACGAAGCTGAAACTTACGTGGAAACACCAAAAGGAACCTTTTCATAGAGGAGACTGAAAATTCTTCTTCCTGACACCGTCCTCACCCAAGGTACCTCAGATCGCGTCTTCTTCTCGTCCTCGTTGTAGACAATGCCACTGCTCCTGCAGAGTGTGTTGTAGGTTGGCACCTTCCTCAGAGCTTCAGAACAGGGATTGGTCCTGGAACTGAGTCATCACTCTGTTCCTCTCTCATGTTGCTCATAATGTCCTCACCTAAGGTCCATCACATCCGTTCCTCTATTCTTTGTGGACAATACCAATGCTCCTGCAGAGTGTGTTGTGGGCTGACACAATTATAGGACAAATCTCCTTCCACAGAGCCTCAGAATGGGGATTTGTCCTAGAACCGAGTCATCACTCTGCTCCTCTCTCTTGTTACTCATAATGTCCTCACCTAAGGTCCATCAGATCCCTTCCTCACCTCTTCAAGGACAGTGCCACTACTCTTGCAGAGTGTGTTGTAGACTGACAGGTTTACAGGATGAATCTCCTTCCTCAGAGCCTCAGAATGGGGATTTGTCCTAGAACCGAGTCATCACTCTGCTCCTCTCTCATGTTGCTCATAATGTCCTCACCTAAGGTCCATCACATCCGTTCCTCATTCTTTGTGGACAATACCAACGCTCCTGCAGAGTGTGTTGTAGGCTGACACAATTATAGGACAAATCTCCTTCCACAGAGCCTCAGAATGGGGATTTGTCCTAGAACCGAGTCATCACTCTGCTCCTCTCTCTTGTTACTCATAATGTCCTCACCTAAGGTCCATCAGATCCCTTCCTCACCTCTTCAAGGACAGTGCCACTACTCTTGCAGAGTGTGTTGTAGACTGACAGGTTTACAGGATGAATCTCCTTCCTCAGAGCCTCAGAATGGGGATTTGTCCTAGAACCGAGTCATCACTCTGCTCCTCTCTCATGTTGCTCATAATGTCCTCACCTAAGGTCCATCACATCCGTTCCTCTATTCTTTGTGGACAATACCAACGCTCCTGCAGAGTGTGTTGTAGGCTGACACAATTATAGGACAAATCTCCTTCCACAGAGCCTCAGAATGGGGATTTGTCCTAGAACCGAGTCATCACTCTGCTCCTCTCTCTTGTTACTCATAATGTCCTCACCTAAGGTCCATCAGATCCCTTCCTCACCTCTTCAAGGACAGTGCCACTACTCCTGCAGAGTGTGTTGTAGACTGACAGGTTTACAGGATGAACCTCCTTCCTCAGAACTCCAGAATAGGGATTTGACCTGGAACCGAGTCATCAGTCTGTTCCCCTCTCTTCTTGATCATAATGTTCTCATCCAAGTCCCTTAAATTGCTTCCTCTCCTCATGGAGGACAATTCCTCTGCTCCCGGAGCATTTTGTAAGATACCACAATAATGGGAAGAATCCCCTTCCTTAAAAGCTCAGAATAGGGACTGGTCCTGGAACCGAGTCATCAGTCTGTTCCCCTCTCTTCTTGCACACAATGTCCTCACCTAAGGTCCATCACATCCTTTCCTCTATTCTTTGTGGACAATACCAATGCTCCTGCAGCGTACGTTGTAGGCTGACACAATTATAGGACAAATCTCCTTCCTCAGAGCCTCAGCATGGGGATTGGTCCTGGAACCAAGTCATCAGTCTGTCCCCCTCTCTTGTTGCTCAAAATGTCCTCATCGTAGGTCCATCTAATTGCTTCCACATGGTGGACAATGCCACTGCTCCTGTAGCATGTTGTAGGATGCCACAATAACGGGATGAATCTTCTTCATTAACATCTCACAATAGGGATTGGTCCTGGAACCAAGCCACCAGTTTAATTCCCTCTCTTCTTGCACACAATGTCTTCATTCAAGGTCTATCCCTGAGGACCATGCCTTGCTCTTCAGCATGTGTCATAGGTGAACACATCTTACAGGATGAACCCCCTCAGAACTCAGAACCCCACAATAGGGATTTGTTCTGGAACCAAGTCTTCAGTCTGTTCCCCTCTTTTTTGCTGACACTGTCCTCATTCAAGGTCTATCAAACTGCTTCCTCTCCTCTTGGAGGACAATGCCACTGCTCTTGCATCGTGTTGTAGGTTGCCACATTTACAGGACAAATGCCCTTCCTCAGAACCTCAGAACGGGGATTTGTCCTGGAAATGACTCCTTTGGTCTTCTCCTGACTCTTCATACGCACTATGTTCCATCCAAGGTCCATCAAATTGCTTCCTCTCCTCTTGGAGAACAATGCCACTGCTCCTGCATCATGTCGTAGATTGCCACATTTACAGGACAAATGCCCTTCCTCAGAACCTCAGAACGGGGATTTGTCCTGGAAATGACTCTTTGGTCTGCTCCTATCTCTATACTCACAATGTCCTCGCTCAAGGTTCATCATATTGCTTCCTTTCCTTATGGAGGATAATGACACTGCTCCTGCATCATGTTATAGGATATCACATTTACAGAAGAATGCTCCTTCTCAGAATATCAATGGGGATTCATCTTAGAATTGAATCATTGGTCTGCTCCCTTCTCTTCATACTCACAATGTCCTCATCCAAAGTCCATCAAATTGCTTCCTCTTCTCATGGAGGATAATGCCACTACTCCTGAACATGATGTAAGGATTGCCACATTTACAGATGAACCCCGTTCCTCAGAACCTCATTGATTTGCCCTGGCAATGACTCCTTCTCTTCATACTCACAATGTCCTCATCCAAAGTCCCTCAAATTGCTTCCTCTTCTCATGGAGGATAATGCCACTACTCCTGAACATGATGTAGGTTGCCACATTTACAGGATGAATCCCCTTCCCAGAACCTCAAAATGGGGATTTGCCCTGGAAATGACTCCCTTCTCTTCATCCTCACAATGTCCTCATCCAAAGTCCATCAAATTGCTTCCTCTTCTCATGGAGGATAATGCCACTACTCCTGAACATGATGTAGGTTGCCACATTTACAGGATGAATCCCCTTCCTCAGAACCTCAAAATGGTCAAATGACTCCCTCCTCTTCTTACTCACAATGTCCTCATCCAAAGATTTGCCCTGGAAATGACTCCCTCTTCTCTTCATACTCACAATGTCCTCATCCAAAGTCCATCAAATTGCTTCCTCTTCTCGTGGAGGATAATGCCACTACTCCTGAACATGATGTAGGTTGCCACATTTACAGGATGAATCCCCTTCCTCAGAACCTCATAATGGGGATTTGCCCTGGAAATGACTCCCTTCTCTTCTTACTCACAATGTCCTCATTCAAAGTCCATCAAATTGCTTCCTCTTCTCATGGAAGGATAATGCCACTACTCCTGAACATGATGTAGGTTGTCACATTTACAGGATGAATCCCCTTCCTCAGAACCTCAGAATGGGGCTTTGCCCTGGCAATGACTCCCTCCTTCTCTTCTTACTCACAATGTCCTCATCCAAGTCCATCAAATTGCTTCCTGTTCTCATGGAGGATAATGCCACCGCTCCTATGTTGCAGGCTGGATGGTTTCCAGAAGAAATCCCCATTCTGGGCTTTGAGGAAGGGCGTCCATCACGTAAATGTGTCAGCCTGCAATACACCGTGCAGGAGCATTGTCCTCCATGAGGAGATGGACCTCGGGTGAGGACATTGTCAGCAAGAAGAGAGGGGAGCAGATCATTGAGTCTTATTAAGTTCAATGTTCTTGTTTTCAATCTCCATGTTATCTATGAAATGGTTCCGGATGTGCTTCAGGAGGCCAAGGCACTTTAGGGGTCCATGCGTGTACTTGGCCTCTGCCCGATAAACCGATTGGAAAGCTTTGAAGACTTTGCCAACCAGAGTGGTGGCAGTAAAAGCCTTGTCTGTCCAATCACTAAACACTCACTACGCCAATGTCATTCAGTCATGCTTGGATCATCTGACCAACATACAATGACTATGGGCACCTGAACCCCATCCTCACCCCCCCCCCCCTCCATCAGGGCTCAGCTCTGGGAAGTACACTATGAATACCCTCGACTGACCAGCCTTGGTCTTTGCATAGTCCCGGGCTGTAGTCCCAGTCTAGTCTTCAGATTGGTCCATCAGTCTTGACCTTACGTCTTGGTCATCATCTACTAAGACCCTACTAATGTCAGGACAACAGATGTCTTGTCCCACCCCTGCAGAACCTCTACTCACCTGCACAGGTGACACTGGTGCACTCCATGGTTCCATTCACACAGGTGCTGGGAAGAGAAGACCATGATGATGATGAGTTGGGGGGGGGGGGGGGGGGGGGTCTGATAGGGACTGTAGAGGAACATTAAACAGGGCCTTACCAGTTATTACATCCATCTCCTCGGGGGACGGCTTCACCAGGAAGACGCCTCCCTCCTGTTAGGATGTCCAGACAGGTGCATTCTTCTAGAGCCACACAGGTTGTGCCGTTCTCCGCCAGGACCTTCCCCGGGGGGCAATAACAGCCCGGCTGGCAGGATTCAGTACAATGCTGGGGGAAGATGGAGGCTCTCAGCAACGATCATATCATTAGAAATACTCAGCCAATCAGCAAAGAACAAGTCACCTGACGTACCGTGATGTCATCACATGACCTTGGGCATGCCGGGCCACAGCTGCTGTATGTGGTGTCTGCGATGGATGAACAGTTGACCACTGGAAGAGAAGATGGAAAAAAAATAATGAAAAAAAATAATAAAAAAAACTACTGACACCAGTGGTGGAACTACCGGGGTCACAAAGGTCGCACTCACAACCGCTCCCTGGTGTTCTCCCACTGGGCTCGAAGGGAAGGGCCTGGTCTGGGGGTCAGGGGGGCCCTTCATAGTTCATTCCTTCATTCTTTTCTCTCTTTTTTTTTTTCCTTTCTCTTTTTTTTTGTTCTTTTCTTTTTTCTTTCCTTCCCTCTTTCCCTTCTTCCTTCCTGTTTAGACCCCTAATATCTCACCTAAGCCCCCCAACAGGGCTCCTAAAAAAAAAAAAAATGGTAAAAAAATAACAAAACAACTACTGACACCAGTGGTGGAACTACCAGGGTCACAAAGGTTTCACTCGCAACCAGTCCCTTGTGTTTCGCCACTGGGCTCAAATGAAGGGCCTCGTCTGGGTGTCAGGGGAGCCCTTCATAGTTCATTCCTTCATTCCTTCCATTCTTTTTCTTTTTCTCTTTTTTTTTTTCTTTTTTCTTTCCTTCCCTCTTTCCCTTCTTCCTTCCTGTTTAGACCCCTAATATCTCACCTAAGCCCCCCCAACAGGGCATCTAAAAAAAACCCGAAACGGTAAAAAATAATGAAAAAAATAACAAAACAACTATGACACCAGTGGTGGAACTACCAGAATCACAAGGGTCGCACTCGCAACTGGTCCCTGGTGTTCCCCCACTGGGCTGGAAGGGAAGGGCTTAGTCTGGGGGTCAGGGGGGCCCTTGATAGTTCATTCCTTCCATTCGTTTCTCTTTTTTTCTTTTCTTTTCTCTTTCCTTCCCTCTTTCCCTTCTTCCTTCCTGTTTAGACCCCTATTATCTCACCTAAGCCCCCCCAACAGGGCATCTAAAAAAAAAAAAAAAATGGGAAAAAATGATAAAAAATTAACAAAACAACTACTGACACCAGTGATGGAACTACTGGGATCACGAACTACTTGCAACCGGTTTCTGGTGTTCCGCCACTGGGCTCGAAGGGAAGGGCCTCGTCTGGGGGTCAGGGGGGCCCTTGATAGTTCATTCCTTCCATTCGTTTCTCTTTTTTCTTTCCTTCACCTTCTTTCCCTTCTTCCTTCCTGTTTAGACCCCTATTATCTCACCTAAGCCCCCCAACAGGGATCCTAAAAAACCCCAAAAAGGTAAAAAATAATGAAAAAAATAACAAAACAACTACTGACTCCAGTGTGAACCGGGGTCACAAAGGTCGCACTTGCAACTAGTCCCTGGTGTTCCCCCACCGGGCTCGAAGGGAAGGGCCTCATCTGGGGGTCAGGGGGGCCCTTCATAGTTACTTGCACCGGGGCCCTGAGGGTTCTAGTTAAGCCACTGTTGTACAGCTGCACAGTTTAGTGTCCAATGAGAGGAACATGGGATCTAAACCACCCCCGCCCCCAATCATTTGCCCCTCCTCCCACACTGTACCATTGGAATGTTCAGTATGTTCGGGATGAACTCTTCCCGGAGCGGACAATGTCAGACATGTAACATTCATGTAGAATAAAGTATGATCCAGGAACACACACATGACCGTACATGGCTCCTCCCGTGTATCTAATGGAAAGCTGACACCATAATATACCGAACACATCGTCCCGGGACGATCGCTCACCCGGGCATGGCGGAATCTGGCAGGGCTCCACCTCTGCGCTCCGGCCTTCGCAGTAGTCTCCGCCCCCCAATGGGGCGGGGTCATTACACAAGCGGCTGCGAGATCTCACCCCCTCTCCACAGGTCTTGGTACAGTCCGTCCATCCGCTCCACGCGCTCCAATCCCCGCTTTCTATAATAGATGAGATGGGAGGAGCCATGAGAGCCCGGGAGGGGAAATCCACCATCACTAGGGGAGCATAGATACATTTGTTACATAGTAACCGGGGGAGCATAGATACATAGTAACCGGGGGAGCATAGATACATTGTTACATAGTAACCGGGGGAGCATAGATACATAGTAACCGGGGGAGCATAGATACATTGTTACATAGTAACCAGGGGATCATAGATACATAGTAACCGGGGGATCATAGATACATTGTTACATAGTAAACCGGGGGAGCATAGATACATAGTAACCGGGGGAGCATAGATACATTGTTACATAGTAACCAGGGGATCATAGATACATAGTAACCGGGGGGGATCATAGATACATTGTTACATAGTAACCGGGGGAGCATAGATACATAGTAAAGAAGGGGGGGGAGCATAGATACATTGTTACATAGTAACCGGGGGAGCATAGATACATAGTAACCGGGGGATCATAGATACATTGTTACATAGTAACCGGGGGAGCATAGATACATAGTAACCGGGGGATCATAGATACATTGTTGCATTTGGGGGGGGATCATAGATACATTGTTGCATAATAGTAACCGGGGGATCATAGATATATAGTAACCGGGGGATCATAGATACATAGTAAACGGGGGGGATCATAGATACATAGTAACCGGGGGATCATAGATACAAAGTAACCGGGGGGATCATAGATACATTGTTTGCATAAAACCGGGGGATCATAGATACATAGTAACCGGGGGATCCATACATACATAGTAACCGGGGGCCATAGATCATACATACATAGTAACCGGGGGATCATAGATACATAGTAACCGGGGGATCGCAGCATAGATACATTGTTACATAGTAACCGGGGGAGCATAGATACATACTAACCGGGGGATCATAGATACATTGTTACATAGTAACCAGGGGATAGTAAACTAAGGGAGCATAGATACATTGTTACATAGTAACTAGGGGATCACATATAAAAATGTCTTGTTTTATGTTAGAATTTGTTCCATTGGAATCGACACAAAAATTACACACTACACAGTAAGAGCTGAGAGAATGTGGAATAGACTCCCTCCAGAATGGTGAGGTGAGGTGGGTGTGGCCAGCTCAGTGGGTTGCTGTAGGAAAGTCCTGGATCCTTTCTTGGATACACAGAATATAACTGGATATAATAATTTATAGGGAAAGGTGATCCCGGGAATAACCGATTATATTGATCCCGGGATCCGATTATATTGATCCAGGAATATCCGATTATTGATCCAGGGAATATCCGATTATTGATCCAGGGGAATATCCGATTATTGATCCCGGGAATATCCGATTATTGATCCAGGGAATATCCGATTATTGATCCCGGGAATATCCGATTATTGATCCCGGGAATATCCGAATATTGATCCAGGGAATATCCGATTATTGATCCCGGGAATATCCGATTATTGATCCCGGGAATATCCGATTATTGATCCGGGGAATATACATTGTTGATCCCGGGATATACGATTATTGATCCAGGGAATATCCGATTATTGATCCCGGGAATATCCGATTATTGATCCCGGGAATATCCGATTATACTGATCCCGGGGATATCCGATTATTTGATCCCGGGAATATCCGATTATTGATCCAGGGAATATAACCGATTATTTTGATCCCGGGAATATCCGATTATTGATCCCGGGAATATCCGATTATTGATCCGGGGGAATATCCGATTATTGATCTAGGGAATATCCGATATTGATCCGGGGAATATCCGATTATTGATAGTAACCAGGGGATCATAGATACATTATACCGGGGGGAATATCCGATTATTGATCCCGGGAATATCCGATTATTGATCCAGGGGATCACATATCCGATTATTGATCCAGGGAATATCCGATTCCCCTTGAATCACCGGGGACACTTACAGATGATTGATGTAATATCCGATTGTTGATCCCGGGAATGCTGTAGGATTATGATTCCTTGGGAATATAACGGATATATTGGGAAAGGTGATCCAGGGAATATCCGATTATTGATCCAGGGAATATCCGATTATTGATCCCGTCCCGGGAATATCCGATTATTGATCCCGGGAATATCCGATTATTGATCCCAGGGAATATCCGATTATTGATCCCCGGGAATATCCGATTATTGATCCAGGGAATATCCGATTACTGATCCCGGGAATATCCGATTATTGATCCCAGGGAATATCCGATTATTGATCCCGGGAATATCCGATTATTGATCCCGGGAATATCCGATTATTGATCCCGGGAATATCCGATTATTGATCCCGGGAATATCCGATTACTGATCCATGGAATATCCGATTATTGATCCCGGGAATATCCGATTATTGATCCCGGGAATATCCGATTATTGATCCCGGGAATATCCGATTATTGATCCCGGGAATATCCGATTGCCTCTCAGGGGATCAGGGAGGAATGTTTCCCCTGCAGGAGCAGATGTATGTAACTGTGTAACTATGTATGTATGTAACTATGTATGTATGTATGTAACTATGTATGTATGTAACTGTGTAACTATGTATGTATGTATGTGTATGTATGTATGTATGTATGTATGTATGTATGTAACTATGTATGTAACTGTGTAACTATGTATGTATGTATGTAACTATGTATGTATGTATGTATGTATGTATGTATGTAACTATGTATGTAACTGTGTAACTATGTATGTATGTATGTAAACTATGTATGTATGTATGTATGTATGTATGTAACTGTGTAACTATGTATGTATGTATGTAAATGTGTAACTATGTATGTATGTATGTATGTAACTATGTAACTATGTATGTATGTAACTATGTAAGTATGTATGTAACTATGTAACTATGTATGTATGTATGTAACTGTGTAACTGTATGTATGTAACTATGTATGTAAGTATGTATGTAACTGTGTATGTATGTATGTATGTAACTATGTATGTATGTATGTAACTATGTATGTATGTATGTAACTGTGTAACTATGTATGTATGTATGTATGTATGTAACTATGTATGTATGTATGTATGTATGTATGTAACTATGTATGTGTATGTATGTATGTATGTAATGTAACTATGTATGTATGTATATAACTGTGTAACTATGTATGTATGTATGTATGTAACTATGTATGTATGTAACTGTGTAACTATGTATGTATGTATGTATGTATGTAACTGTGTAACTATGTATGTATGTATCTAACTGTGTAACTATGTATGTATGTATGTAACTATGTATGTATGTATGTAACTATGTATGTATGTAACTATGTATGTATGTATGTATGTATGTAACTGTGTAACTATGTATGTATGTATGTAACTGTGTATGTATGTATGTATGTATGTATGTATCTAACTGTGTAACTATGTATGTATGTATGTATGTATGTATGTAACTGTGTAACTATGTATGTATGTATCTAACTGTGTAACTATGTATGTATGTAACTACGTATGTATGTATGTAACTATGTATGTATGTAACTATGTATGTAACTATGTATGTATGTATGTATGTGTATGTATGTATGTATGTAACTGTGTAACTATGTATGTATGTGTAACAGAACCGGAACCCAGACCGCACTGAGTTTTTCCGTTATAGCACAACTTCCCCTGTCCGAACACCATCCACGGACCACACCCTGAAATCCCTCAGGAAATAGACAGCACCCGGCTCTTCATAATACAGGAAGCCAACTACCATTATTGTACACAAAACAACATGTTTTATACAGAGGGCGGGGAAAGACAACCAGGGACAGGAAACACATCATCAGCCCGCCCCATCCAACCAGACACAGAACAATGGGATGCAGCCATGCAGTAAAGGACATTGACCAACCCCCACACCAATACACAAACAGTACATCCCATAATAGTTGGCTGGACAGGAAGACACAGCACCATGGAGGGGAGCACATGGCAGGGACAAAGGAACCCACACTATACACAATACTGGGACATTCACATTCACACCCTGTACCCCTTAACAGGCATGGGGGGGTTAAACATAATGAGGGGGACATGAGCTGACCAAGCGGTCCCCCCACCTCTAAAAGTCACTCCCGTCACAGTATGTAACTGTGTAACTATGTATGTATGTATGTATGTATGTATGTAACTGACCACACTAGTCCTCATTGGGCTCGCTGTGAATTCCCCGTGAGCTCCCTAGGGGGCGCTGCGCGGTGTGATCCACCACCTATATCAACGCATGGAAAGCACAAACATGGAAGCCATAATCCTGCCATGTATGACGTCCCATCACCCCTTCCAGGAATGGCCGTCCTCCGAAGGTCCTCTATGAATGGCCCAGCACCCCGCGGGGAAAGGGGGCGGGGCTTAGTAGAACAGAATACCGCATGCTGAGGATAGAGGGCAGTCCCTCTACCCTCCTATCAGGCCAGAGTACCTCCACCACACGGGGATTCATGGTAGTAGATGGCTGGATCTCCTCACCCTCACATGGCTCCGGGTCACAGGGCCGCTCCTCCCGCTCAGGACCTTCACAGGGTCGGCCGGTTCCGGAGGGAGGGGGGTCGGTGCAGAATCGGTACCGGTTCTGGAATCCTCCCCCGCACGTTGCTGAACACTCGCTCCACGGCGTCCAGTCCGACCACTTCCCATCCACAGCTGCAAGAGAGGAATATTACCACCCGAATCTAAACAGAGGTGACACCCGACCCAAAATGGTGACACAGAGGAACGACTGATACCCACCGCCACAGGGGAGCTGCGAGCAATCCGTGATCCGTCCAGAGAGGCAGGAGCTGCAGGAGGGACACAGCAAACATTGGATGTACGCCAGGGGGCGCTACTGAGTACTGGAGAACACCCGCCTACACCCCATTATTACACCCCTGGAGAACACCCGCCTACACCCCCCGCCTACACCCCAATTACACCCTGGAGAACACCCGCCTACATTATTACACCCCTGGAGAACGCCCGCCTTACCCCTGGACCCCCTACTACACCCCATTATTACACCCCTGGAGAACGCCCCCTGCCCCTACACCCCCATTATTACACCCCTGTTATTACACCCCTGGAGAACGCCCGCCTACACCCCGTATACACCCCTGGAGAACACCCTACTGCACCCCATTATTACACCCCTGGAGAACATTCGCCTACGCCCCATTATTACACCCCTGGAGAACGCCCGCCTACACACCCCTGGAGAACACCCATCTACACCCCATTATTATTACACCCCCTGGAGAACCCTACACCCCATTATTACACCCCTGGAGAACGCCCCGCCTACACCCCATTATTACACCCCTGGAGAACACCCGCCTACACCCCATTACACCCCAGAACACCCTATTATTACACCCCATTATTACACCCAGGAGAACACCCATCTACACCCCATTATACACCCCTGGAGAACACCCACCAGTTATTACAGTCCCTCAGCACGGTCTCTCCAGGTTGATAGAAGACTCCATTCTCAGTGCAGGGACACTGCCATGGGGGGACACAGTGGTTGTTCTGTAGGAGAAGAGGGACAGTCACACACGGCTCGGTATATGTCCTCCCTATTGGCCGCATATTATACCCTCATTGTGAGGGTTGGAAAGGTTGGTGCATTGGCAGAGTGATAGATGTCCTTGTCCCCGGGTGCAGGGACCAGGGGTGTCACTAGACCATATCACCAGTCTCATGCAAATTCCCACCACCCAACAGGCCCAGCAAAGTTCCAGCACCCAACAGGCCCAGCAAAGTTCCACTACCCAACAGGCCCAGCAAAGTTCCACACCAACAGGCCCAGCAGTCCCAGGCCCAACCCAACAGTTCCAGCACCCAAAACAGGCCAAGCAAAGTTCCAGCACCCAACAGGCCCAGCAAAGTCCCACCACCCAACAGGCCAAGCAAAGTTCCAGCACCCAACAGGCCCAGCAAAGTCCCACACCCAACAGTCCCAGCAAAGTTCCAGCACCCAACAGGCCCAGCAAAGTTCCAGCACCCAACAGGCCCAGCAAAGTTCCACACCCAACAGTCCCAGCAAAGTCCCAGCACCCAACAGTCCCAGCAAAGTTCCACCCCAAACAGGCCCAGCAAAGTTCCACACCCAACAGTCCCAGCAAAGTCCACTACCCAACAGTCCCAGCAAAGTCCCACCACCCAACAGGCCCAGCATAGTTCCCACCACCCGACAGCCCAACAGTCCCAGCAACAGTCCCAGCATAGTCCCACCACCCAAAGCAAAGTCCAGCATCCAAGTTCCAGCAAAGTCCCACCCAAACCCAGCAAAGTCCCACCACCCAACAGGCCCAGCATAGTCCCACCACCCGACAGTCCCACCACCCGCACCCAACAGTCCCAGCATAGTCCCACCCACCCAGGCCCAAGCAAAGTTCCCAGCACCCAACAGGCCCAGCAAAGTCCACACCCAACAGGCCCAGCAAAGTCCCACCACCCAACAGTTCCAGCATAGTTCCAGCACCCAACAGGCCCAGCATAGTTCCAGCACCCATCGTCTCCCTTCTCCATGTTTCATGTACGGAGTGGAAGAAGTTGGAGTTCCCTGGACTGATCATGACAAGCACTTCTGTTCTCTTACAGCCAGATTTGGGCATCCCTGCCGGAGATCTGTAGGAAGGGGATCTGTGGGAAGGGGATCTGCGGGAAGGGGATCTGCGGGAAGGAGACCTGCGGGAAGGGGATCTGCGGGAAGGGGATCTGCGGGAAGGGGATCTGCGGGAAGGGGATCTGCGGAAAGGGGATCTGCGGGAAGGGGATCTGCGGGAAGGGGATCTGCGGAAAGGGGATCTGCGGGAAGGGGATCTGCAGAAAGGAGATCTGCGGGAAGGGGATCTGCGGGAAGGGGATCTGCGGGAAGGGGATCTGCGGGAAGGGAATCTGCGGGAAGGAGATCTGCGGATCTGCGGGAAGGAGATCTGCGGGAAGGAGATCTGCGGGAAGGGGATCTGCGGGAAGGGGATCTGCGGGAAGGGGATCTGCGGGAAGGGGATCTGCGGGCTGCGGGAAGGGGATCTGCGGGAAGGGGATCTGCAGGAAGGGGATCTGCAGGAAGGGGATCTGTAGAAAGGAGATCTGTAGAAAGGAGATCTGTAGGAAGGAGATCTGTAGGAAGATCTGTAGGAAGGGGATCTGTAGGAAGGGGATTGTGGGAAGTTCTGTGGGAAGGGGATCTAAAGGGGATCTGTAGAAAGGGGATCAAGGAGATCTGTGGGAAGGGGATCTGTGGGAAGGGGATCTTGGGAAGGGGATCTGTGGGGAAGGGGATCAAGGGGATCTGTAGGAAGGGGATCTGTAGGAAGGAGATCTGTAGGAAGGGGATCTGTAGGAAGGGGATCTGTAGGAAGGGGATCTGTAGGAAGGGGATCTGTAGGAAGGGGATCTGTAGGAAGGGAATCTGTAGGAAGGGGATCTGTAGGAAGGGGCTCTCTGGGAAGGGGATCTGTGGGAAGGGGATCTGTGGGAAGGGGATCTGTGGGAAGGGGATCTGTGGGAAGGGGATCTTTAGGAAGGAGATCTTTAGGAAGGAGATCTGTAGGAAGGGGATCTGTAGGAAGGGGATCTGTAGGAAGGGGATCTGTAGGAAGGGGATCTGTAGGAAGGAGATCTGTAGGAAGGGGATCTGTAGGAAGGGGATCTGTAGGAAGGGGATCTGTAGGAAGGGGATCTGTAGGAAGGGGATCTGTAGGAAGGGGATCTGTAGGAAGGAGATCTTTAGGAAGGAGATCTGTAGGAAGGGGATCTGTAGGAAGGGGATCTGTAGGAAGGGGATCTGTAGGAAGGAGATCTGTAGGAAGGGGATCTGTAGGAAGGGGATCTGTAGGAAGGGGGTCTGCAGGAAGGAGACCTGCAGGAAGGGGGTCTGTAGGAAGGGGATCTGTAGGAAGGGGATCTGTAGGAAGGGGATCTGTAGGAAGGGGATCTGTAGGAAGGAGATCTGTAGGAAGGGGATCTGTAGGAAGGGGATCTGTAGGAAGGGGATCTGTTGGGGAATCCCCTTGTAGTACAGACTGAGGTGAAATGAAAGTTCCATCACCTCCATCCCAAGGACAATCCCTCCCCGGCCCTCCATGACACTCACCAGCAGGAGCTCCCCACTCTGGCAGTAGCAGCCTGGCTGGCACGTCTTGTTGTCTCCATCATCATCCAGATGAGCGCAGGAGGCGGGGCCATCACTGCATTCCTTCCATACCTTCCCATCCAGACAGATCCCGGGATCCTCTCCTGTAAGGTGGATCGTGAGAAGATCGAGAATGATCCTTCTAAACCAGGACTTACCAACCCCATTCACTTCACAGAAAACTAGAATAGATCCCGGCATCCACTCCACCTAGAACTAGAATAAATCCAGGGATCCACTCCATATAAAGCTAGAGGAGGCCTAGAGATCTCCACACAGAGCTAGAACTGATCCAGTGATAAATTGCACATCAATCTAGAACAGGTCCAGAGATTCTCTCCTGTAAGGAGGACAATGAGAAGACCAAGAATGATTCTTCTACACCAAGACATATCAACCCCAACACACAACACCATACCAAGCCACTCCACACAGGATATGAATAGATCCAAAGGATCCACTTCACAGAAAACTAGAACAGATCCCGGCACCCACACAACCTAGAACTAGAATAAGCAAATCCAGGGTTCCATGACACATAAAGCTAGAGGACACCTAAGGATCTGCTCCACACAGAGCTAGAACTGATCCAGAGATCTACTCAACATAAAACAAAAAATGATCCAGGGATAAACTGCACATCAATCTAGAACAGGTCCAGGGATCATCTCCGGTAAGGAGGACAATGAGAAGACCCAGAATGACTCTTCTACACCAGGACTTACCACCACCATACATCACCAAGCCACTTCACATAGGATAAAATGAGAACCAAGGATCCACTTCAACAAAAACTAAAATAGATCTGGGAATCCACTCAGCATAAAACTAGAATAAGTAAATCCAGGGATCCACACCACATAAAGCTAGAGCAGATCTAGATATCTACTCCACACAGAGTCAGGACTGATCCAGGGATCTACTCCATGTGAAACCAGAAAAGGTTCAGGGATCAACTGCACATCAGTGTAGAGCAGATCCGGGATCAACTGCATATAATACAGCAACAGATACAGGGATCCACTCTAAACAGAACTAGAAAATATTCATAGATCAATTGAACTTAGAACTGAAACAGATCCAGAATCAATTGGGCTTAGAACTAGAGGAGCATCAAGGGTCTACACAAAAGTAGAGCAGATCCGGGATCCACTCAGAACTAGAAAATATCCACAGAACCATTGAACTTAGAAATGAAACAGATCCAGAATCCATTGAAATAGAGGCGTATCAAGGGTCTACACAAACATACAGCAGATCTGGGATCACTCAGAACTAGAAAATATCCATAGAACCATTGAACTTAGAACTGAAAGAGATCCAGAATCAATTGGGCTTAGAACTAGAGGAGCATCAAGGGTCTACACAAAAGTAGAGCAGATCTGGGACCACTCAGAACTAGAAAATATCCATAGAGCCATTGAACTTAGAACTGAAAGAGATCCAGAATCAATTGGGCTTAGAACTAGAGGAGCATCAAGGGTCTACACAAAAGTAGAGCAGATCCGGGATCCACTCAGAACTAGAAAATATCCATAGAGCCATTGAACTTAGAACTGAAACAGATCCAGAATCCATTGGGCTTAGAACTAGAGGAGCATCAAGGCTCTACACAAAAGTAGAGCAGATCCGCGATCCACTCAGAACTAGAACCATTGAACTTAGAACTGAAACAGATCCAGAATCCATTGGGCTTAGAACTAGGAGCATCAAGGGTCTACACAAAAAGTAGAGCAGATCCGGGATCCACTCAGAACTAGAAAATATCCATAGAGCCATTGAACTTAGAACTGAAACAGATCCAGAATCCATTGGGCTTAGAACTAGAGGAGCATCAAGGGTCTACACAAAAGTAGAGCAGATCCGCGATCCACTCAGAACTAGAACCATTGAACTTAGAACTGAAACAGATCCAGAATCCATTGGGCTTAGAACTAGAGGAGCAACAAGGCTCTACACAAAAGTAGAGCAGATCTGGGATCCACTGTCCACTGTTCATAGATGAAACTCCCGCAACACCCCGGATTTCAATACAATCTTCTTACCAGAACACAGATGGAGGTTACAGGTGGAGAATTCGATGCGGCGCAGAATGACGCTGACGCGGCTGCGGTTCCGGTATCCTCCGCCGCAGGCCACAGAACATTCTGACCAGGGTCCCCAGTCCCCAGCAGAGCCTGAGAAGAAAGCAGAGATTATCTGTATCCCAGCATTACTGGAGAAGCTGAGGGATAGGCATGTCCGAAGGACCAACCACTGACCCACCTTTACAGGGCTGTAAACTGCAGAACTCAATGGCCACACCGGACCCCTCACAATCCCGACCTCCGAACGCGGCGGCTGGGTTGGTTCCCGATCGGTAGCGTCGTCTGGTGCCAACATTACACGTTCGGCTGCAGGAGCTCCAAGAGGTCCAATCACTCCAACCACAATCCACTGAGACATGAAGGCAAAGGGGGTGAGGAACGGTGTACGATGTGGGGGCATCGGTCAGGTCCACATTTATTTTCTATTTGCCGAGCCGCAACAAACTTTATTGCCACTTAGCAGGTCAACCCAGATGTTGTGTCCTTCCTTCTCACCAGACCTAACTCCGCCTCCTCACCAGACCTAACTCCGCCTCCTCACCAGACCTAATTCCGCCTTGACGCATTTCACCCTCAATATAGTATGTGAACCGTGTCAGTGGCATCACCTCTGGTGGGGAACGACACAATCTCATTACCCACAGCATGGAGGGGAAGGATATGCTGGTTGTAGTGCTCAGGGGCGGACTGACCATTTGGAAACTCGGGCACTGCCCGAGGGCCCGGGGTCAGTAGGGGGCCCCATAAGATGCCCCTGGCACCTTTTTCACAGGCTTTTTTGAGTTTGGGCAAGGACACAGGGGCCCCATGATTCCCTATTGCCCGGCGCCCCCATGAGTTGTCAGTCCGCCCCTGGTAGTGCTCCCCACCCACTGACCCAAAAGGAGATTCTGTCCCATCAAACAGTCCTCACCTGGACATGGAGCTGCACTGCAGACCATCTCACCGGACACACAGGTGCTGCAAACACAGAAGAGGTCATTGAGGATGGAGGATCATGGGAGTAACCAATGACATCTATAACACAACAGGAAGGTCACGGTTACCAGTTGTTGCAGGCGTCCAGCGTCACGTTCTCCCCGGGTTGGTAGAGCGCCCCCCGGTGGTAACAGGAACATTCGGTCTGCGACACACAGCTGTTGTTCTGCAGAAAGAGCCCCTCAGGGCAGTAGCAGCCCTCGTAGCAGGTGGAGGCACACTCTACCTGGGCAGCCTGGTCCAGGCACAGCCGAGGACAGACCCCCCTGGAGCCGCGACACTCCTCCACGGTCTGATAGATCATATTGGGTGGACAGAGATCTGGAGGAAGGAGGAGAAGAGGCCCAACAAACAGAACCAGATTATTATTGTAACTGGAATTCTGACAGCAGCCAGAACCATCTTCTAAATCCATCATAAACCCCAACAAAGGGACGCTCATACTGCCTGACCCTGGAAACGCCTCCATGAACCAGGGCAAGGCCAAGGAGTAGTAGATGAGGCAGCTGCTTTGGGTGCTTGCAGGAGTGAGGTGCAAAAAGTGGGGGGCAGCTCATGGGGAGGAGGGGGGGTGTACTTTGGCCTTTCCATGTGGGTGGCTAAAAGGCCTTGTCCCAGTGACACCTGGCATCACTCACCTTTGCAAGGCTGTGTGTTACACTCCCTGGTCTGGATCTGTGGCCCCCGACAGTCGTGGCCTCCATGTAATGGCACAGGGTTAGAACATGAGCGGTTTCGGGTCTGGATTCCAGAGTCACAGGTGGCGGTACACTCTGTCCAAGAGGTCCAGGAGGACCACCCGCCGACAACTGTATTGGAGGGAGCCAGAGCATCAGTGTTACATATCCCCTCCAGAGAGGTAAGTATAATGTGGGAGGAGCTGGACCTGGACTTCACAGACCATCCCATCCCCCATCTCATGTACTGTACTTACCAGGACACAGCGGTGTATCGCATGGCTCCTCCTGGACAGACTCCCCAACACACGGAGGGCCAGAGGAGGACTGCGTGGTGTTACAATGCCGGAATCTTCTCCGCACCCCAATATTTTCCACGTCATAGAAGCACGTTCTAGAGCATGGCGACCACGGGGTCCAATCACTCCAGAATATGTCCGTCTCTGGTGACCCAAGGTAGGAGATGAAAGATGGGGGAGTACACAGAAGAGGAGAAAGGAAGAGGGAGTGAAGGAGGAACCAGAGAGGAGATGAAGAGGGTGAAGACACAAATATGAAGACCATTATGGTGACCCCAATGTGTGAGGAGCAGAAGATTGGAGATCTGCAAACACACAAGACCCTCAAATCAGAGAGGAAAGATCAACATTTCTATACTTGGAATGTATCCAACATCATCCCACCCATACCCCGAGGAGAAATACCACCCATACCCCGAGGAGAAATACCACCCCATACCCCGAGGAGAAATACCACCCATACCCCGAGGATAAATACCCATACCCCGAGGAGAAAATACCATCCATACCCGATACCCCCCCGAGAAGAAATACCACCCATACCCCCCCGAGGAGAAATACCACCCATACCCCGATGAGAAATACCACCCATACCCCGAGGAGAAATACCACACATACCCCCCCGAGGAGAAATACCACAGGATACCCCATACCCCGAGGAGAAATACCACCCATACCCCGAGGAGAAATACTACCCCATACCCCGAGGAGAAATACCCCACCCCGAGAGAAATACCCCATACCCCGAGGAGAAATACCACCCATACCCCGAGGAGAAATATCACCCATACCCCGAGGAGAAATACCACCCATACCCCGAGGAGAAATACCACCCATACCCTGAGGAGAAATACCACCCATACCCTGAGGAGAAATATCACCCATACCCTGAGGAGAAATACCACCCATACCCTGAGGAGAAATACCACCCATACCCTGAGGAGAAATACACTCATACCCCGAGGAGAAATGCCACCCATAGTCCCCACCATCATCATCAGTCAGCAATTGCAATCACAATCTGTAATTTGGGGTATCCCCACGACCTACCATTGGCACATGGAGTGTAACACTCTATGGGGTCCCGTGTGTCCCCCTCACAGGGAGCACCACCGTTAGCACTGGGAGGATTAGATGGAGACCTGGAAAGAGAGGAGAGGGACCTGTCAATCGTCTTTCCTTGGGGGGAGGAAAGCGGAGTATGGACTGTTGCAGTTTATTGTAGAGGTCCTGAAATGGCAATTTGGCTCATACGGCCTGATGGCTTTGCATGTCAGGACTGCTCTGCACCTCCAGTCCTGTATAGTATATTATGGGTGCAGCACTGTATGAGGTTCTGTATAGTATAGCAGGACTTTTGTTCTCACTATGAAATCCTTTTCTTGGAGTCCTGAGGGCAGAGCCCAGACAAGGGGTAAGCGGGAGGGGAGGAAGCCCTGGGTGCAGTGGTTTACTGTAGGGATGGGGACACCTTCCTTCTGTCACATGGCTAGGCAGTTTGGAATCTTTTGCCTTGGGCACTGGATGACCTTGTCCCAGCACTGTCTGAGGGACACAGGAAGTCCTTCACCTTCAGGTTATACTGCCGGCTACAGGAGGCAAACAAAAAATCTGTAGGCCATCCCATTATAACTCCTTCCTCGCATCGGCATGCCTATGTTTTGGAGCAAGAGCATGGTCATAAGCACAGAAGGACCGGGACCCTCAATGGACTACAAGATAAGAATTTTACAGTGTTTTTGTAGACCATTGGAGGACACAGACGTATTTGACTTTTGGGCATCCAAAAGCAGTCTAACAGAGGGGGTGGGCAACACCGCATGAAATGCAACCAATAAAAAGTTAACAGGTCCAAAAAAAACCTGAGAACTGGGGACCGCCCACAGCTCATAAACCCATCTGAAGGACCTTATTCTCAAAGCTGGCATCAGATGAGGACTGAAACATCCACCTGGTAGAAACGAGGGAACGTGTGAACAGTAGACCAGCCGCCAGCCTTACAAATCTGAGACATGATTGCTTGATTCTGAAAAGCCCAGAAGACCCTCACAGACCTAGCAGAGTGCATCTTGGCAGGAATTGGAGGAACCCAATCCTTGAGTCCTTAAGCTTGGATGATGGTCTGTCTGAAGAAACTAGAGATGGTGGAACATGGAAACAATGCACCGCTAGGGGTCCTTCTCCCTGAAATCACTGCTGACACGGTTGAAATGTGAAGTTCTGCCCAGGACAGGATTTGATCGATCTCCCTTGCTGCTGAAAAACTTCTAAATGGGATGTGAACTACCTCTCTTGCCATGGTGTTTTCTGAATGAATCTGGATTGGTTGACCCTCCATCAGGATGGTCCAATGCTGCATAAGCCGCCAAATTGCCTAAGCCCTGGTTCACACCAGTGCGGCTTTGAAATCGCTCTAGTGCGCACAACTTCAAAGCTGACTATTCAGTGCGACTTCATTGCGGCTTGCTGACGCTCTGCGTGACTTCATATAACAGATGTCAATGCAAGTTGCAATGAAGTTGCACAAAAATAGTGCAGGAACATTTTTCAAAGTCGCTGCAACTTGAGTCACACCGATTTGAACAGTTCCATGGGGTGCAACTTGTCATGTGACTTTGAACTCTCAAGTTGCATGACAAGTCACACTGGGGAAGACCAAGGCTAAGGCTCCAGGATGCTGACTGGGAGCGGAGACTCCTCCAATAGCCAAATCTCAGCCTTCCCTAACTTGTAGGCTGGCATCCACTTTGAGGATCTTCAAAAAGGTTGGAAGGACAGATTTCCTTAGATTCTGAGCCACCAACCAAGTTTCAACCTACTCCTCGATGTGAAATAAAGCAGTCTGTCCAGGAACTTTATTGACTTGTCCCACCACCAAAGAATTTTGCAATGTAGTGGTCTGGAGAAAAAATTGGGCAAATGGGATTACCTCAAAAGGAGGCTACCATCATGCTCCTGGAACAGAGAGCTCAAATCTGAGATCGGAGAGACTGAAGTTTCTCTGTGGGAGAAAGACCCTTGCTTGAGATGTCCAGGACTCCAGGACTATGTCCAGATTCTGCAAATCATGAGTTAGGTTACTGCTAATTTCTGAAGGTTCAGGATCCATCTGAACTACTGTGACATCTGGCCAGTCAAAGCTACATTTTCCGACAGAGCCCACACTGACCGTTCCCTACACAGAAGGTCTAAGTATCCCATAACGGGGATCTAACGAGACAGCAGCAAGGCTACTATTGGGGCTAGCATCTTGATAAACACCTGAGGTGCAGGTGATAGGCTGAAGGGTAGGGCCACAAAATGGTAGCGTAGGGACCCGACAGCAAAACGTAGGAAATGTTGATGGACATGGAAGATGGTGACATGGGGGTACACATCCTTGATGTTCACACAAAGCCTCCCTGGTGAAGGGGGGCAATGACAGGTGGATTCCATGTGGAAATTCTGAGCTCAAATAAAGACATTCAGAGCTTTGAGATCGAAGTTTGCATTGATGGGGGTTTGGGAACAGAGTAGAATCCTTGAAACAATTTTGCTCCAGGAACTGGGGCAAAGACACCTTGGTCTGGAACATTTGAGTGGATTCAATGGATATCCACTAATCTGTGTGATGATACAGGAAGGATGGAGATAGGAAAGCAAGGAGGGAACAGGGAGGGAAACTCCATTTTCTAGCCTTGGAGTACCACCTCCTGCATCCAAGCATCTTGATAATGGTATCAAGAGCAGATCTGAAGAGATGTTGTCCCTCGATGGCCATGTAGACATGGGTTCTGCACTGCAGCACTTTAGCTATAGTGTTGAGACCCATGAGGGAGATAAGCCAGGAAGCCTCTTGCAAACCATCGTAACCGAAGTGTAAAGCTATGGACATTTGCTCGACATGTTCTAAAATCATGTGATGAACCACAGCAGTGGAGATGGCTTCCAATGGCTTATTGTTGGGTCCAGGGGCGGACTGACCATTTGGAAACTGGGGCACTGCCCGAGGGCCGGGGGTCAGTAGGGAGCCCCATAAGATGCCCCTGGTACCTTTTTCATAGGCTTTTTTGAGTTTGGGCAAGGACACAGGGGTCCCATGATCCCCTATTGCCCGGGGGGCCCCATGAGTTGTCCGTCCGCCCCTGGTTGGGTCCCTAAAGACATGTGCATCCTTCATCAGTATGGTGGTCGCTTTGTCAAGGTGGGACCCTGTCGGTTTCACAGTAGGGCTAGCCCACTTTTATACAAAATCCCCTCCAAATGGGTTCAAGACAAATAATCATCGTTAGGGTGTTTTAAATCTCTGTATAGGAAGAGTTGGAACAACCAGTGCAATGGGAAAGTCTTTTGAGGTCGCAGGGGCTCTAAAGACCCAAGACTCGCAACAGTTCTGATAGAAGCAAAAGGATTCTAGTCCAGGTCCTCTCGTTTCAGTGTAGAGCAAACCATATAAATAGGAGCCAAAACAGTCCCTTAATTTGAGAGTAATGGCAGAAGACTGCAGATCTTCCAGGATACATTCATCTGGCAAAGACTGGCCTGACCCAATATCAGAGTCTCTACAGCTGATGGTTCAGAGCCACCAAGGCCATGGGTAGATCATTTGTGGGGGAAGGCACTGGAGTGTGGTTGTGGCCTATGTGGTCAGATGTGGCAAATAACTGGGTGATTTGGGCCACAAAGTCTTGTAGGAATGTAGTTTTAAAGAGGACTCCAATTATGGAAAAGACTCTAGGAGTAGAAGGCAAGGTGATCCAAGGCTGCAACATCAGAAGGACTGCAAGCCCCGGAGATGTTAGTATAGTGTGAACTGGGGACACCTATTACCACCATGTCTACAGTTAGATATGTCCTGACTGTGTGGCGGTAAGGCAACCTAAGGCTCAAGGTACAAGGCAAGGCTTCAGGTACTTGTGAAACCCAATCAGGTGGACAGCCCTGAGTAGGAGGGGTTATCCTGAGCTGGCCTGAGCTGGACATGTCCTGACTGTGTGGCGGTAAGGCAACTTAAGGCTCAGGTACAAGGCAAGGCTTCAGGTACTTGTGAAACCCAATCAGATGGACAGCCCTGAGTAGGAGGGGTTATCCTGAGCTGGCCTGAGCTGGACATGTCCTGACTGTGTGGTGGTAAGGCAACCTAAGCTCAAGGTACAAGGCAAGGCTTCAGGTACTTGTGAAACCCAATCAGGTGGACAGCCCTGAGTAGGAGGGGTTATCTTGAGCTGGCCTGAGCTGGACATGTCCTGACTGTGTGGCGGTAAGGCAACCTAAGGCTCAAGGTACAAGGCAAGGCTTCAGGTACTTGTGAAACCCAATCAGATGGACAGCCCTGAGTAGGAGGGGTTATCTTGAGCTGGCCTGAGCTGGACATGTCCTGACTGTGTGGCGGTAAGGCAACCTAAGGCTCAAGGTACAAGGCAAGGCTTCAGGTACTTGTGAAACCCAATCAGAGGGACAGCCCTGAGTAGGAGGGGTTATCTTGAGCTGGCCTGAGCTGGACATGTCCTGACTGTGTGGCGGTAAGGCAACTTAAGGCTCAGGGTACAAGGCAAGGCTTCAGGTACTTGTGAAACCCAATCAGAGGGACAGCCCTGAGTAGGAGGGGTTATCCTGAGCTGGCCTGAGCTGGACATGTCCTGACTGTGTGGCGGTAAGGCAACCTAAGGCTCAAGGTACAAGGCAAGGCTTCAGGTACTTGTGAAAGCCAATCAGGTGGACAGCCCTGAGTAGGAGGGGTTATCTTGAGCTGGCCTGAGCTGGACATGTCCTGACTGTGTGGCGGTAAGGCAACCTTGTGACCAGAACTTGGTCTGGAAAGCTCCGTCTCTGGAACCCAGAGCTCAAAGGTCATTTCCAGGTTATCCCCTCAATGTCCAGGCAGCTGGATCCACACACCAAACGCCAGGCTGAGGACGGCTACACCAGATATCTGCAACCGAGGAGACGAGCACCAGCAACAATGTAAAGAAGAATCTCGACTGAGGAAAAAATGATGAAGAGTAAAAGAAATGGCGCGGGTAGAAATAGGTCAGTCTGCTACAAGGAGGGACATCCAACCTTCTGGGACATTAGAGAATAACTGGGGCATGCTGGTAGTAGGAGCAGAGCCATCTTCGTAGCATCGGGGGCCCCTGTTCTAAGTAATGCACTGGGGCTCCTACTAAGGAGATGGTGACCTGAACCCTGCCGCAAACAGTGGGTGTGGCTAAACTATGCTACATATTGGGTGTGGCTTTTCAGTCTGATTAAAAATTTTAGTCTTTTACATTATTTTAAAATATATATATATTATTTTTTACTTTTTTTCACAATGCTGTTTGGGGGGAGGGGGGTCTTTGGTGAGATATTAGGGGTCTAAACAGACCCCTGAAGTCTCACTTTTGAAACACATTCCCCAGTTCCGGCCTCAGCTGCACTGCTGTTCAATTAACAGGAGACAGAGGGCCCTGGTACCAATCACTCACTGTGTTCATTCAGAGAAGGAAGGGTCCGGTAAATGACATACAGTATTTAGCAGTCCCTTCCCTGAGGATCCCCCACAGCAGGATCTTCTGGCAGGAGAGGAGTGGAGGGAAGTCGAAAGCGCTGCAAGGAGGGGGGGTTACACAGGGGGTCCAGGCTACAGGGGAATCACGTGTGGACAGGATGGAGTGATTTTTATGGTGGGTGGAGGAAATGAACGGAACCGATCTTTCGTGGCTCTCCTGGATTTCAGCTGCTGCAGCGAGAGCCACACAGAAGGGAGGTTCCAGTTATTTCCCCCACCTGCCACAGTGATCACCCCCTCCTGTCTACATACGATTCCCCCTGCTGGGGTGGGGGACTGCAGGGGCCCACCATGTACCTGGGGCCCCTGGGCAGTACTTAGGGGTGCCTGTGTGAAAAGACAGCCCTGAGTAGGAGGGGTTATACTGAGATGGCCTACTCTTCCTGCCGGCGGCTATATAATCCAAAGATGAAAAACCTCCCATGTCCTCCAATGGAAGGGAAGTATGATACCTCTGCACTACATACATGACCGTCTAGTGTTCTACACGGCGCTCTACCTGAATCGCTCCTGCATGCCGGCTCCACATGTCGTGTCACATGGTGTCCACTGGGACCAGGCTGACCACCCACAGTCCACGGCACAGGCTGAGCTGTCACACGTCACCTTCCCGTCTTGGCATTGGCTGCAGCGGGCGATATCGGGGAATAATGGGGGAGAAAACAAAAAAATACAATGAGAACATTGGAAGAGCGGCAACATGGCACCCAAGGTTGGGGAGGACTTTGGGAATGATTTTTGTTTTTGACTGGTGAGTGTGTCCAGAACCATTATCAGAGTCCCTCCTTCCCCGCTGGTCCTCACCACACGCTGCAGTTGTCGGGGCTGAACGTCTCCCCAGGAAGTTGGGTGCCGCCATGCTCCACATTACAGCGACACCGGCTGATAGTCACACAGCCGCCATCTTGGAGGTACAGACCTGGAGGGCAGCGGCATCCTGCAAGGCAAAGGACAACATGGCGGCATTGAGAGGGTAGAAGATACCATGAGCATGATTGGGTGGTCTGATATATATGTAATCAAATCCAAATGCAGACGTATTGCAGGCGAAGCCTCTGTTCCCCATATAAAATATATATAATTAATGCCCAGAGCTGAGAGAAGATGGATCGGACTTCTCTGGAATGTGGTGACCATCATTATTCCACAAACACTCCACATATAATATTACTGATCCGGTGGGAGGTACCCACCTTCCATACAGCCTCCATCACACAGGGTCTCAGCGTTCAGGCTGCGGCAGGTCAACGGACATGGATCCATGTGCTGGGATTCACACTGTCCAGGATGAACATAGATCATCTCCAGGCCACAGTCTGTGAACACAAAGCAGTTCAAATGTCATAGTCTACCCAATGACAATGAAGAGACCCAACAAGCAGATTCAGTACCTGAACCATCTCATCACTGGAGGTCAAACTTACCTTCTGAGTCCCCACATGGCTGTAGGTTACAGGATTCTGTCTGCACAGATTCTCCACGGCACAAAAGACCCCCGTTCTTGGGTGGCGGATTTTCACATTTCCTGTTTCTAGAACGGACCCCTCCTTGACACAGAGCATCACAAGCAGACCACTCTCCCCAAGGCGACCAGGCACCATTCACTGCAAGGCACAAACATCACATGACCAAGGGACTCTACTATGAGGAGGAGCCTACAGAAAATATTACAGTGACCGGAGAGGCCCCCTGACACTGACCGGAATTGTCTCCTGACACTGGCCGGAGAAGCCTCCTGACACTGACAAGAGAAACCACCTGATACTGACCAGAGAAGCCACCTGATACTGACCAGAGAAGCCACCTGATACTGACCAGAGAAGCCACCTGACACTGGCCAGAGAAGCCTCCTGACACTGGCCAGAGAAGCCTCCTGACACTGGCCAGAGAAGCCTCCTGACACTGGCCAGAGAAGCCTCTTGACACTGACCGGAGAAGCCTCCTGACACTGACCGGAGAAGCCTCCTGAAACTGGCCAGAGAAGCCATCTGACACTGACCGGAGCAGACTCCTGACACTAACCAGAGAATCATCTTGACACTAACCAGAGGTGTCTTCTGACACTGACTGAGGAAGCCTCCTGATACTGATTGGATAAGCCTCCTGACACTGACCAAAGATGCCTTCTGACACTGACCACAGGTGTCTCCTGACACTGACCGGAGAAGCCTCCTGACACTGACCAGAGAAGCCTCCTGACACTGACCAGAGAAGCCTCCTGACACTGACCAGAGAAGCCTCCTGACACTGACCAGAGAAGCCTCCTGACACTGACCAGAGAAGCCTCCTTAAACTGACCAGAGAAGCCTCCTTAAACTGACCAGAGAAGCCTCCTGGCACAGACCAGAGAAGCCTCCTGACACAGACCAGAGACCAGAGAAACCTCCTGACACAGACCAGAGACCAGAGAAGCCTCCTGGCAGACCAGAGACCAGAGAAGCCTCCTGGCACAGACCAGAGACCAGAGAAGCCTCCTGGCACAGACCAGAGAAGCCTCCTGACACAGACCAGAGAAGCCTCCTGACACAGACCAGAGAAGCCTCCTGACACAGACCAGAGAAGCCTCCTGACACAGACCAGAGAAGCCTCCTGACACAGACCAGAGAAGCCTCCTGACACAGACCAGAGAAGCCTCCTGACACAGACCGGAGAAGCCTCCTGACACAGACCAGAGAAGCCTCCTGACACAGACCAGAGAAGCCTCCTGACACAGACCAGAGAAGCCTCCTGACACAGACCAGAGAAGCCTCCTGACACAGACCAGAGAAGCCTCCTGACACAGACCAGAGAAGCCTCCTGACACAGACCAGAGAAGCCTCCTGACACAGACCGGAGAAGCCTCCTGACACTGACCGAGAAGCCTCCTGACACTGACCGGAGAAGCCTCCTGACACTGACCGGAGAAGCCTCCTGACACTGACCGGAGAAGCCTCCTGACACTGACCGGAGAAGCCTCCTGACACTGACCGGAGAAGCCTCCTGACACTGACCGGAGAAGCCTCCTGACACTGACCGGAGAAGCCTCCTGGCACAGACCGAGAAGCCTGCTGACACAGACCAGAGAAGCCTCCTTAAACTGACCAGAGAAGCCTCCTAAAACTGACCAGAGAAGCCTCCTTAAACTGACCAGAGAAGCCTCCTGACACTGACCGGAGAAGCCTCCTCACAAAGACCAGAGAAGCCTCCTGGCACAGACCAGAGAAGCCTCCTGGCACAGACCAGAGAAGCCTCCTGGCACAGACCAGAGAAGCCTCCTGGCACAGACCAGAGAAGCCTCCTGACACAGACCGGAGAAGCCTCCTGACACAGACCGGAGAAGCCTCCTGGCACAGACCAGAGAAGCCTCCTGACACAGACCAGAGAAGCCTCCTTAAACTGACCAGAGAAGCCTCTTGACACTGGCAAGAGAAGCCTCCTGACACTGGCAAGAGAAGCCTCCTGACACTGACCGGAGAAACCTCCTGACACTGACCGGAGAAGCCTCCTGACACTGACCGGAGAAGCCTCCTGACACTGACCGGAGAAGCCTCCTGACACTGACCGGAGAAGCCTCCTGACACTGACCGAGAGAAGCCTCCTGACACTGACCGGAGAAGCCTCCTGGCACAGACCGGAGAGAAGCCTGCTGACACAGACCAGAGAAGCCTCCTTAAACTGACCAGAGAAGCCTCCTAAACTGACCAGAGAAGCCTCCTTAAACTGACCAGAGAAGCCTCCTTAAACTGACCAGAGAAGCCTCCTGACACAGACCAGAGAAGCCTCCTGACACAGACCAGACCAGGAGAAGCCTCCTGACACAGACCAGAGACCAGAGAAGCCTCCTGACACAGACCAGAGAAGCCTCCTGACACAGACCAGAGAAGCCTCCTGACACAGACCAGAGAAGCCTCCTTAACACTGACCAGAGAAGCCTCCTGACACTGGCAAGAGAAGCCTCCTGACACTGACCGAGAAGCCTCCTGACACTGACCGGAGAAGCCTCCTGACACTGACCGGAGAAGCCTCCTGACACTGACCGGAGAAGCCTCCTGACACTGACCGGAGAAGCCTCCTGACACTGACCGGAGAAGCCTCCTGACACTGACCGGAGAAGCCTCCTGACACTGACCGGAGAAGCCTCCTGGCACAGACCGGAGAAGCCTGCTGACACAGACCAGAGAAGCCTCCGTAAACTGACCATGACACTGGCAAGAAGCCTCCTTAAACTGACCAGAGAAGCCTCCTTAAACTGACCAGAGAAGCCTCCTGACACTGACCGGAGAAGCCTCCTCACAAAGACCAGAGAAGCCTCCTGGCACAGACCAGAGAAGCCTCCTGGCACAGACCAGAGAAGCCTCCTGACACAGACCGGAGAAGCCTCCTGACACAGACCGGAGAAGCCTCCTGGCACAGACCAGAGAAGCCTCCTGACACAGACCAGAGAAGCCTCCTTAAACTGACCAGAGAAGCCTCTTGACACTGGCAAGAGAAGCCTCCTGACACTGGCAAGAGAAGCCTCCTGACACTGGCAAGAGAAGCCTCCTGACACTGGCAAGAGAAGCCTCCTGACACTGACCGGAGAAACCTCCTGACACTGACCGGAGAAGCCTCCTGACACTGACCGGAGAAGCCTCCTGACACTGACCGGAGAAGCCTCCTGACACTGACCGGAGAAGCCTCCTGACACTGACCGAGAAGCCTCCTGACACTGACCAAAAGAAGTCTCCTGACACTGACCAAAGAAGTCTCCTGACACTGACCGAAGAAGTCTCCTGACACTGACCGAAGAAGTCTCCTGACACTGACCGAAGAAGTCTCCTGACACTGACCGAAGAAGTCTCCTGACACTGACCGAAGAAGTCTCCTGACACTAACAAGAGAAGCCTCCTGACACTGACCGGAGAAGCCTCCAGACACTGACCGGAGAAGCCTCCAGACACTGACCGGAGAAGCCTCCAGACACTGACCGGAGAAGCCTCCAGACACTGACCGGAGAAGCCTCCAGACACTGACCGGAGAAGCCTCCAGACACTGACCGGAGACACTGACCGGAGAAGCCTCCAGACACTGACCGGAGAAGCCTCAGACACTGACCGGAGAAGCCTTCAGACACTGACCGGAGAAGCCTCCAGACACTGACCAGAGAAGCCTCCAGACACTGACCAGAGAAGCCTCCAGACACTGACCGGAGAAGCCTCCAGACACTGACCAGAGAAGCCTTCTGATGCAGAGTAGAGGTAACATACAGAAAACTGAATATTGCTGGATGTGGATTATCTTTATAATCAGATTTTTCTACTTTTCACACATTCTGTACACATTAGAGGGAAGTAAATGCTGCTTTCAGAGGTTCCTGGGAGAAGCATTGGATGGGTCCTTCTGGGTTTCCTTTTGCATTACACAGCTTCCAGCCTCTTCCATATCATATCTAAAATTCATCTTCATTTTTCTCTCACAATTGCCCAAGTATGTCTCACCTACCTGGACATGCTTGTACGAAGCAGCTCTGACTGTCAAACTGAGCTCCGGCACAATGACCCCCAGGCAGTCGATCCCTGATCACATCCTGACGTCGAAACTTGACTCCTAACCCACAGGAGCGACTGCATTCACTCCAGGATGTCCACACAGAGAGGACACAATCCACTGTGGGTGAAGGAAAACACTTGATATTAATGAGACAGCTCAAGTCCCAATACTGGTCCGGTTTATGGTTCAGTGTGACAGAAGGAAAGGAGACCCTACACCGGGACAATAAACCTACCACAGTTATCTTCATCAGAACCATCTGAACAGTCACGATGGAGGTCACAGTGTCTCTCCAATGACACACATTCTCCGGAGCGACAAGTAAACTGTTTGTGTGAACACAAGCTGGGGCTCGGTGTGGGGAACAAGCCATGTGGGAGTGGAGACCGCAACTGCAGAATAGGTGCCTGGAGAGACAACAGAAAGTTCTAGAGAGTTCTAAAAACCACTCATACCCATTAGATAGAAAAACCTGAGAGTCATCAAGAGACTCACCACAGAGTTGCTCGTCGGAGCCATCAATACAGTCTTCTTGTCCATTGCAAACATCAGCTGCGTCCACACAGCCGAACGCAGAGCAAGCAAACTGACCAAAGCTGCAGCTACTTCTGGGAAGCTCAGTGGTCAGATCCACTGGGAATGTGCTGGCCGTTCCTGTAATATAAAAAGTCCATCTCACATCTTAACAGATTATTTATATACAAGAATTTTCCAGCCTTCTTGATCACTGTACTAATAGATATGTTCCTCTAATCAATAATCTTCTGGACATTCATCAATACATGAAGCACTTCTATAACATTTGTACACATCAAAGGGCAGCAGTGACAGAGGTCCCCTCAAGCACATTACAAACCTTCATACGTAAGAGAGGCATGAAATCCTTCGTGGCCCCCTGGTCTAACATGCCCCTCTTCTGGAAGAACCTCAACAGGCTCCTTCCAAATAACCCCCTGAACCAGGCTTCAAGCTGGAATGATATCCTTCTGGAACAACATATATCTCAGGACCTGGGTGTTCTTCCTCCAACGAGGCATTCTTTAGTGTAGGGGTGGAGATACTTTTTTCATGGTACGGGTAACTTGTCCCATTATTCTGAAATGTGGACAACACTTCTTCCACAGGTGGTCTAGATACTCTGCCTGGGTTTAACGTTTGAGCTTCTTCAGTTACTGGTTCTTCTTTGAATGGTGGGACTCCAGGCTTACTTTGCTCTTGTCCTGGAAAGATTGAGGGTTCAGCTGATAGACCAGGGTGGCCAGTCCCTACCCAAGCTGGATTTACACTCTCACCATCATATTCTGAAACACTTGTGTGAGAAGTTCCCATTCCTGGCACTTCTTGTCCTACACTCAATGCGGGCAAACTTGTGTGTCCTGAGGTGCCATCTACATCAGTACTCCACTTCTCCTTACCAGAAAGCCCAGGTGCGCCAGTCTGATAGGGGCCGGGATGAACTCCAGGACCTCCAGAAATGCCTTCTCCTAGGTGTGAGATAGCAGCCATGGGTTGAGTGCTGCTGGATGTTTCATCAATCATTATGGGTGGAGCAGTCGTCATCAGCAGACCAGGAGAACCAGAGGAGACATCTCCAAACTCCAGGGTTGCAGATTCCACTCTATGTTCAGGTCTCTCTGGGATTCTGATGCCAGGCTTTCCACTGACAAATGGCTTCTCCTGAATGCCTGGCTGTCCTGTAGTTGGCAGTCTTGGTCCAGTTTCCTGTCCTGGTGTCTTGTGCAGTATTCCCGGGCTACCTGTCGGTTGAGATGGTTGATATATTCCTGGCTCTCCAACATGTCCAGGGAGATAAGAGACTGGATGGAGAGTACTGCCTGGTGCCAAACCATGTCCAGGTGGAAAGGTTTCATCTAGGGGACATGAAAGAGAACAAACTGAAGTATTACTGCTAATCTCCATTACAGGAGCACTATGCTGAGAACTGACTTCATACCTCATGTCATTATCTGGAGATATTATTGACACCATACCATGTGACACAGAGAGAGGAACCTCACAAACAAACTGGGCAATATACCGACTGAAGACAGACCTTCGGTGCCTTACATGGGTGTCCAGATGAATGCACACCCCCATACCTACAGCTACCCTAAGGCTTAGTCAATGTCATGTCTAATCAGCACATGTGGAATTCCTAGAGGATTGTCTGGTGTCACATCAAATCTGCATATGTGCATCTGGTGTCATGTCTAATAAGAACAACCAGATCTGATCCTCAATACACAATAATAACCAAATGGAGCAAATTCATAGCTCCGGCAATAGGCAGCACACAGGCACGCCTCTGGCACATGTGTTGGTTGGTGAGGGGTTTGGTGCCAGGCACCTTCTACAGGTTCTACTTTACATGAATCTAAAAACTGGAGAATCTGTACTCACCTGTTGGGGGAATGGCCAGACCTGGAGAGACCATAGTGCCTAGAGGAGAATGGGAAACCAATCAGTATTGTACACAGAAATGTCTAGGACTAGTACTACTATTTCCCATGTTGTATAGCTTTGACATATACAGCAGCGCTGTACAGAGAACACAAGGCCAGAACACACGTTAGATGTCTGGCCCAACTACTGGCCTTTATTTTAGGATCAATCTGTTAATTAATGGATATTATCTCCAACCCTTGGCAGTGGAGACCCTTTCCACCTACTGTATGATTTGGGGGGGGGGGGGGTAACATCTCGTACCCACATAGACCCCTTAGAGAAAAGGTGGAGCAAGGTTGGGAGTGTGGCACTATTATTTAATATTCAGGTACAGTATGTGTTCCGCCATATCAGGAGCTGGAGGAGCCAATGACACCATGAAGGTTCACACAAAGCTTCATTCATAGCTCCGTGCCGGTGTCAGAGACACGTATGAAAGATCCAACTCTAGAGACCAGTCACCAAATTTCTAAATCAGCCAGAAAAGTCTTTTCCACCACATCTTACCACATCCGTCCTCATCGGAGAAATCACGGCAGTCGGGTCTTCCATCACACAAAGATCTGGAGGCGTTCACGCATTCACCACTGCGGCACTCAAACTCCCCCATCTGACAGTGAGACGTCCTCACCTCCCCAGGAATGGTAACCAAACCTGGAAGCTGCGTGACGGCTGCTCCCGTGTGCTCCACTGCAAGGAAAGAGAACAGCAATTCCTAAAACTCTGAGCCAATTATCCCTCCCAGGATGCTTCACACCACCCTCCTCCATATCCCTTCCGGCACAATCCTCACTGACCTCCATATCCCTCCCGACAATCAATCCTCATATCCCTCTGACCTCCTCACCCTCCCCCATATCCCTCCCGGCATCAGGATCCTCACTGACCTCCATATCCCTCCCAGGATGTTTCACACCCTCCTCCAACATCCTCCTCATATCCCTCCCGGCACAATCCTCACTGACCTCCATATCCCTCCCAGCACAATCCTCACTGACCTCCATATCCCTCCCGACACAATCCTCACTGACCTCCATATCCCTCCCAGGATGTTTCACACCACCCTCCTCCATATCCCTCCAGGCACAATCCTCACTGACCTCCCCCATATCCCTCCCGGCACAATCCTCACTGACCTCCCCCATATCCCTCCCGGCACAATCCTCACTGACCTCCCCCATATCCCTCCCGGCACAATCCTCACTGACCTCCATATCCCTCCCAGGATGCTTCACACCAACATCCTCCTTATCACCCTCCATATCCCTTCCGGCACAATCCTCACTGACCTCCATATCCCTTCCGGCACAATCCTCACTGACCTTCATATCCCTCCCAGGATGCTTCACACCAACATCCTCCATATCCCTCCCGGCACAATCCTCACTGACCTCCATACCCTCCCGACACAATCCTCCTGACCTCCATATCCCTCCCGACACAATCCTCACTGACCTCCATATCCCTCCCGCACAATCCTCACTGACCTCCCCCATATCCCTCCCGGCACAATCCTCACTGACCTCCCCCATATCCCTCCCACAATCCTCACTGACCTCCATGGCACTTCATATCCCTCCCAGGATGCTTCACTCCAACATCCTCCATATCCCTCCCGGCACAATCCTCACTGACCTCCCCCATATCCCTCCCGGCACAATCCTCACTGACCTCCCCCATATCCCTCCGGCACAATCCTCACTGACCTCCATATCCCTTCCGGCACAATCCTCACTGACCTCCATATCCCTCCCGACACAATCCTCACTTACCTCCCCGATATCCCTCCCGGCACAATCCTCACTGACCTCCCCCATATCCCTTCCAACATGCTCCTCACCAATTTCCTCCATATCCTTTACAGTATGCTCCAGACTAACCTCCATATCCCTCATCACACAGTCCCCACAGACAGCCCCCATATTTCTCCCAGCATGCTCCTCACTGACCTCCTCCCCCTTTTCTTTACAGCATGCTCCACACCAACCTCCTCCATGTCTCCCTTCCCTCCATATCCTTCTCATATTGCTCCGCATCAATGTCCTACATATCCCTTCCAACATGCTCCTCACTGTCATCCTTCACAACTTGCTCCTCACTGACCTCTTCCATACCCCTCCCAACATGCTCCTCACTGAAATCCTCCATGTCCTTCCCAACTTGCTCCTCACTGACCTCTTCTACACACCTCCCAACATGCTCCTCATTGACTTTCCCCATACCCCTTCCAAATACTCTTCACTGACTTCCTCCATATCCTTGCCAACATGTTACTCACTGATCTCCTTCATATGCCATCCAACATGCTCCTCACCAACATCCTACATATCCTTCCAACATGCTCTTCACTGACTTCCTTCATATACTTCCAACATGCTCCTCACTGCCATCCTCCATATTCCTCCCAACAGGCTCTCCACTGACATTCTCCATACCCCTCCCAACATGCTCCTCACTGACCTCCTCCATATCCTTCCTGATGTGCTCAACACTAACCTCCTTCATGCTCCTCACTGACATTCTTCATACCCCTCTCAAAATTTTCTTCACTGACATCCTCCATATCCCTCCCAACATGCTCCTCGCTGACCTCTGTCATATCCCTCCTAACGTGCTCCTCTCTAACCTCCTCCATATCCCTTCCAATATGCTCCTCACTAACCTTCTCCTTATCCCTTCCTATATGCTCCTCACCGACTTCCTCCATATTCCTCCCAACATGTTCTCCATTAAATTCCTCCAGATCCCTAACAATGTGCTCCTCACTGACATCCTCCATATCCCTCCCAACATGTTCCTCACTGACATCCTCCATATCCCTCCCAACATGCTCCTCACTGACATCCTCCATATCCCTCCAAACATGCTCCTCACTGACATCCTCCATATCTCTCCCAACATGCTCCTCACTGACCTGTCATATCCCTCCTAACGTGGTCCTCACTGGCATCCTCCATATCCCTCCCATCATGCTCCTCACTGACCTCTGTCCTATCCCTCCTAATATGCTCCTCACTAACCTTCTCCTTATCCCTTGCAATATGCTCCTCACAGACTTCCTCCCAACATGCTCTCCATTACTTTCCTCCATATCCCTCCCAATGCGTTCCTCGCTGGCTTCCTCCATATTCCTCCCAACATACTCCTCACTGACATCCTCCATATCTCTCCCAACATGCTCCTTACTGACATCCTCCACATCCCTCCCAACATGCTCCTCACTGTCCTCTGTATATATCCCTCCTAACGTGCTCCTCACTAACCTTATCCTTATCCCTTCTAATATGCTCCTCACAGACTTCCTCCATATTCCTCCCAACATGTTCTCCATGCCTCCATATCCCTCCCAATAAGCTCCTCACGGACATCCTCCATATCCCTCCCAATAAGCTCCTCACGGACATCCTCCATATCCCTCCCAACATGCTCCTCACTGACTTCTTCCATATCCCTCCCAACATGCTCCTCACTGACTTCTTCCATATCCCTTCTAATATGCTCCTCACAGACTTCCTCCATATCCCTCCCAACATGCTCTCCATTATTTTCCTCCATATTCCTCCCAATGTGCTCCTCACTGATATCCTCCATATCCCTCCCAATAAGCTCCTCACGGACATCCTCCATATCCCTCCCAACATGCTCCTCACTGACTTCTTCCATATCCCTCCCAACATGCTCCTCACTGACTTCTTCCATATCCCTTCCAATATGCTCCTCACGGATATCATCCATATTCCTCCCAACATGTTCTCTATTGACATCCTCCATATCCCTCCCATCATGCTCCTCACTGACCTTTTTCCATATCCATTCTAACATGCTCCTCACTGACCTCCTCCTTATTCTTTACAACATCCTCCACATTTACCTCCTCTGTATGCACCAGCAAAATCATCACTGACCTCCATAATACTCCAAAAATGCTACTCATGATCTCCTCCATATCTCTCCCAACACAATCCTCCCTGATATCGTCCACATCCTTTCAAGGATGCTTCTCAATGACATCCTCTTAATCCCTCCCAGCAGCTCCTCACCAACTATCTCTGTATCCTTCCCAGAATATTCTCCACTAACCACCTCAATATCCTTCCCACCATGTTTTAAGCTGCCATCACCCCATCACTCTCAGCATGCTCCAAGCACATCAAGCTGTTTCTATATGAAATCTGAGGAGGGGGTTAAATCTCACCGTAGGGGCATCCGATGACCTCACAGCGCAGGTAGATGGCCTTGTGATAGTCCACAGGAAGAATACGGAGGAATCGAGTCAGTAAGGTGCTTCCAAGCTCCTGCCTCACTGGACTGTTACTGTCTGAATTGGCTTCAAATATCTAAACCAGAATAAGATGGTGTCACAGTCAAAGCCAAGCAGTCAATTAGAAGGCCATCAGGTTGGACATGGTGAGACGCTGAGGAGCAGAAAGAGTTTAAATCTCCCCAAATCAAAGGAGTGATCGTATTATTACTATTCTCCTCCTATAGTCATTACCAATGCTGTGATAGTATGATACCTAAATATTGCCATTGTTCTCACCTGGAGTTTCTGTGGTGAGGTCTTCTCCTGACCAGTAAAGTTCTGATAGACACGTCCATCGTTACTGTACATGAGATGGTACTTGGTGATATAACCTCCTGATTGTCTCCCTCCCTGGGTGATGATGGCGGAGATGAAGGTGGGCTGTAGGAAGTCTATCTGGAAGTAGGGCTGTTTATCCGAGTCCAGAGGTCTCCAGCCGGGCACAATGTTCAGTCTGGAGGGAGATAACAGTCTATATTCTGTGCCTCACATTGAACATTTCACACTCCGCTTAACCATAGGTAGCAGCTGTATTCAACAGCTCCTCTCTCATTTTAAAGCTCCTCCCCCAGTTTCCAGCTCCTCCCTCATTTCACAGACGCTCCCCTGGTTCTGAGCTCCTCCCTTACTCCCCACTGCTCCCCAGTTCTCAGCTCCTTTCTCATATTCTGCTGCTTTCCCAGTTCTCAGATCCTCTCTCAGGTCTCAACATCTCCTGAGGTCCTAGTTATATTCTCTCTTTCTCTGCTCCTCCCTCATTTCCAGCCACAGCCTCCTATCCCAGATCCTCCATTAGTTCCCAGCTCCTCCTTCATGTCTCAGCTCCTCCCTCAGCTCCTAGCTCCTTTCTCAGTTCTCAGCCACTCTTGAGGTCCAAGCTCCTCTTGAGTTCCTCTCTTGTTCCCTGCTGCTTTCCCAGTATCCTAGTTCCTCTCTCAGGTCCCAGGTCCTCCCTTAGCTCTTAGCTCCTTTCCCAGTTCCCAGCTACTCTATCAGATCCTCTTACAGTTCCCTGTTCCTACTTCAGGTCGCAACTTCTCCATCAGCTCTTAGCTTCTTTCTCAGTTCTCAGTCACTCTTGAGGTCCAAGCTCCTCCTGAGCGCCTCCCTTGTTCCCTGCTGAATTCCCACTCTTTAGCACCTCACTCAGTTCTTAGTTCCTTTCTTAGTTCCCATCTCTCCACCAGCCCCTCTTTCAGTTCCTTACTTCTCCCTCAGGTCTCAGCTTCTCCCTCTGCTTTAAGCTTCTTTGTCAGTACTCAGCCACTCTTAAAGTCCAAGCTCCTTCTGTACTCCTCTCTCATTTCCTCTGCTTTCCCAGTTTCTAGCTCTTTTTTCAGTTCTCAGCTCCTTCATTGGCTCCCCTTTCAGTTTCCAGCTCCTCCCTCAGTTCTCAGCTTCACACACAGGTCCCAGATCCACTCAAAGTTCCCAGCTCTACCCTTAGATCTCAAATTCTTGCTAAGGTCCTAGTTTCTCTGTCAGTTCCTTGCTCCTCTCTCTGTTCTCAGCTACTCCTGAGGTCCGAGCTCCTCTCTCATTCTCTGCTCTTCCCTTATTCCCAGATCCTCCCCCAGTTCTTATTTTAGTTCCTAGCTCCTCCTTCACTTCCTTGCTCCTCCTTCAGGTCTCAGGTCCTCCCTCTGCTCTTAGCTCCCTTCTCAGTTCTCAGCCACTCTTGAGGTCAAAGCTCCTCCTGAGCTCCTCTCTCATTCCATGCTGCATTCCCAGTTTCTTGCTCCTTTCCCAGTTCCTCCATGAGCTCCTCTTTCAGTTTCCAGCTCCTCCCTCAGTCCTCAGCTGCACTGGAAGTTCTCAGTTATTTGCTGCCAAGCTCCAAGCTCCTCCTGAGCTCTTCTCTTGTTCCCTGCCGTTTTCCCAATTTCTATCTCCTCTCCCAAGTCCTCCATTAGCTCCTCTTTCAGTTCCCAGCTCCTCCCTCAGTTGTCAGCTTCATCACCCAAAGTTCCCAGCTCTACCCTCAGATCTCAGCTTCTTCCTAACGTCCCAATTTCATCAGTTCCCTGCTCCTCTCTCAGTTATCAGCTCCACCTGAAGTCCAAGCTTCTATCTCATTCCCTGCTCCTCCCTCATTCCCAGGTGCTCCCCCAGTTCCCAGAACCTCTCCCAATTCCTCTTTTACTTCCTAGCTCCTCTGTCAGTTGCCTGCTCCTCCTTCAGGTCTCAGCTCCTCCCTCAGCTCCTAACTCCCTTCTCAGTTCTCAGCCACTCTTGAGGTCCAAGCTTCTTCTGAGCTCCTCTCTTGTTCCCTGCTGAATTCCCAGTTTTTAGCTTCTTTCCCAGTTCCCATCTCCTCCATCAGCACCTCTTTCAGCTCCCAGCTCCTCCCTCAGTTCTCAGCTTCACTGACAAGCCCCCGTGCACTCGAGGTCCAAGTTCCTCCCACGTTCATCTCTCATTCTCCGATGCATTCCTAGTTTTTTGCTCAGGTCGCAGGTCCTCCCTTAGCTGTTAGCTCCTTTCCTAGTTCCTAGCTCCTCCCTCAGTTCTCAGCTTCACCCACAGATCCCAGCTGCGCTTGAAGTTACCAGCTCTACCCTCAAATCTCAGTTTTTTCCAAAGGTCCCAGCGTCTCTGTCAGCTCCTTGCTCCTCTCTCAGTTCTCAGCTGCTCCTGAGGTCCAAGCTCCTATCTCATTCCCTCAGTTCCCCCCTCATGCAGTACTGCTCCCTCAGTTCCCAACTCCTCCCTCAGGTCCCAGGTCTTCCCTCAACTCCTAGCTTCTGTATCAGTTTCCAGCTTCTCCCTCAGTTCTCAGCTCCTCCCTCAGGTCCCAACTTCTCCGTAAGGTCTCAGCTTTTTCATCCTTTCCCAGTTACTACCTCAGTTCTCAACTCCACCCTCAGGTCCCAGCTTCTCCATAAGGTCTCAGCATCTCCATTGGCTCCCAGTTATTCCCTCAGTTCTCAACTCCACCCTCAGGTCCCAGCTTCTCCGTAAGGTCTCAGCTTCTCCATTGGCTCCCAGTTACTACCTCAGTTCTCAACTCCACCCACGGGTCCCAGCTTCTCCATAAGGTCTCAGCATCTCCATTGGCTCCCAGTTACTACCTCAGTTCTCAACTCCACCCTTAGGTCCCAGCTTCTCCGTAAAGTCTCAGCTTTTCCATCCGTTCCCAGTTACTACCTCAGTTCTCAACTCCACCCTCAGGTCCCAGCTTCTCCGTAAGGTCTCAGCATCTCCATTGGCTCCCAGTTACTACCTCAGTTCTCAACTCCACCCTCGGGTCCCAGCTTCTCCGTAAGGTCTCAGCATCTCCATTGGCTCCCAGTTACTACCTCAGTTCTCAACTCCACCCTCAGGTCCCAGCTTCTCCGTAAGGTCTCAGCATCTCCATTGGCTCCCAGTTACTACCTCAGTTCTCAACTCCACCCTCAGCTCCCAGCTTCTCCGTAAGGTCTCAGCATCTCCATTGGTTCCCAGTTACTACCTCAGTTCTCAACTCCACCCTCAGCTCCCAGCTTCTCCGTAAGGTCTCAGCATCTCCATTGGTTCCCAGTTACTACCTCAGTTCTCAACTCCACCCTCAGCTCCCAGCTTCTCCGTAAGGTCTCAGCATCTCCATTGGCTCCCAGTTACTACCTCAGTTCTCAACTCCACCCTCAGGTCCCAGCTTCTCCGTAAGGTCTCAGCATCTCCATTGGTTCCCAGTTACTACCTCAGTTCTCAACTCCACCCTCAGCTCCCAGTTTCTCCGTAAGGTCTCAGTTTTTTCAGCCGTTCCCAGTTACTACCCCAGTTCTCAACTCCACCCTCAGGACCTAGCCCTTCTTTCAGTTCCAGTTATAACCTCAGGTCCCAGCTCCTCCCTTAGTTCCCAGCTCCTCCCTCAGTTCCCAGCTCCTCCCCAATCACAGGTCTTGCCCCAACATGTAAGGCATCCACTAACATGTTTGGGACGATGTTCAGGCGCCCGGCATCTGGTGGATTGTTCTCCTTGTAGGAGGAGGCTGACAGCTGCTTGTAGTGGATCCGTCCGTCCTCCATGCCCAGAGCTCTGTCACATGAAGCTGTCATGGAGGATCACACATGTCTAAGTCACACACAAGTCTATATACATTTCCCGGCACATTCAGATCATCGGTTTATCATTTACCTGGAGGTGCCGAAATCTCTCCCTCTGGGAATTTAGGCTGAGCGGTGCCCCCAGGTCCCTGTGACAGAAAATCAGAAACCCCGTGTGAAGTTGGCGATAACTGTGGGGGAGGGGCAAGGATTACAAGCCACATCACAGCGAATCGCCTGCATCCTTCTCACCTGTATTGTGGATATGGTTGGTCTAGCTGAAGGGGTGGAAACACCCGGCCAACGAGGGCTTTCTCCTCCCACTGCGCTTGCGGTAGGGCTGGTCCAATCTTCAGCACTGCAGATAATAACACAGATAGAGGTTAAAGGTTGGCCATGGTGGGTCAGAGCGGGCGTTCGGGTCCAGGTGTACCGTGGTCGCCCGTAGGGTCACCCCACCTTATCACAGACCATACATGACGTTCCTTCTCATCTCACCTCCAGGTGGTGTCGGGCAGCGTTGTGGACACACAGCCAGTCTCATCTGCCCCATCAGCACAGTCGGGGTGGCCATCGCACCGCTGGGACGTCATAACGCAGTTCCCGGAAGATTTACAGTAAAACTCAGAACTTCGACACCCCCCTCTGGGTGGGGGAGAGCGGGGAAGGGGCGGTGCCTGCGAGACAAGACACATGGAACTGTTAGATACCATAAATCAGCACATGGGGGGGGGGGGGTTACAAATGACCCGTGACCTGATATCCTATCAGGAAGATCAATACATAACAGGCTCAGCCGGCCAATGGGAAGACGGGGAATGATCGGCTGAAGCGGCTTCAAAAGCCACCATGTCATCCTGTTCATTGATCCGTGTCACAATCCCTAATTAATGATCAATAATTGATTACCAATTTTTATACCCTGTTTGATAATCTCTGATTGATGATCCCTGATTGATGATCCATGATTGATGATCCCTGATTGATGATCCATGATTGATGATGATCCCTGATTGATGATCCCTGATTGATGATCCATGATTGATGATCCGTGATTGATGATCCATGATTGATGATCCCTGATTGATGATCCCTGATTGATGATCCCTGATTGGTGATCCCTGATTGGTGATCCCTGATTGATGATCCATGATTGGTGATCCCTGATTGGTGATCCCTGATTGGTGATCCCTGATTGATGATCCATGATTGATGATCCCTGATTGATAATCCCTGATTGATGAATTCCTGATTGATGATCCATGATTGATGATCCTGATTGATGATCCCTGATTGATGATCCCTGATTGATGATCCATGATTGATGATCCATGATTGATGAATCCCTGATTGATGATCCCTGATTGATGATCCCTGATTGATGATCCATGATTGATGATCCCCGATTGATGATCCCCGATTGATGATCCCCCCGATTGGTGATCCCTGATTGATGATCCCTGATTGATGATCCCTGATTGATGATCCATGATTGATGATCCATTGATGATGATGATCCTGATTGATAATCCATGATTGATAATTCCTGATTGATGATCCCTGATTGATGATCCCTGATTGATGATCCCTGATTGATGATCCCTGATTGGTGATCCATGATTGATGATCCATGATTGATGATCCATGATTGATGATCCATGATTGATGATCCCTGATTGATGATCCATGATTGATAATCCCTGATTGATGATCCATGATTGATGATCCCTGATTGATGATCCATGATTGATGATCCCTGATTGATGATCCATGATTGATGATCCCTGATTGATGATCCATGATTGATGATCCATGATTGATGATCCATGATTGATAATTCCTGATTGATGATCCATGTTTGATGATCCATGATTGATAATCCCTGATTGATGATCCCTGATTGATGATCCCTGATTGATGATCCCTGATTGATGATCCCTGATTGATAATCCCTGATTGATGATCCCTGATTGGTGATCCATGATGATGATCCATGATTGATGATCCATGATTGATGATCCATGATTGATAATTCCTGATTGATGATCCATGATTGATGATCCATGATTGATAATTCCTGATTGATGATCCATGATTGATGATCCATGATTGATGATCCATGTTTGATAATCCCTGACTGATGATCCCTGATTGAGGATCCCTGATTGATGATCCATGATTGATAATTCCTGATTGATGATCCATGATTGATGATCCCTGATTGATGATCTATGATTGATAATCCCTCATTGATGATCCCTGATTGATGATCCCTGATTGATGATCCCTGTTTGATAATCCCTGTTTGATGATCCATAATTGATAATCCCTGATTATGATCCATGTTTGATAATCCCTGATGATGATCCATGATTGATGATCCCTGATTGATGATCCCTGATTGAGGATCCCCTCATTGATGATCCCTGATTGATGATCCCTGTTTGATAATCCCTGTTTGATGATCCCTGATGATGATCCCTGACTGATGATCCATGATTGATAATCCCTGATTAATAATCCTGACTGCAGATCCCTGATTATTAATGCATGATTGATGGTCCCTGATTGCTGATTGTTAATCACTGATTGATAATATCTGATTTTAATCCCTGACTGATGATCTCTGATTAATAATCCCTGATTGATGATCCTTTATTGATAATCCATGATTGATGATTCCTTAATAATAATGATTAATAATCCCTGATTGGTTATTTCTGATTGATGACCAATGATTGATATTCCCTCATCGATGATTCCTGTTCCATAAACCCTGATTGGTGATCCCTGATTATTAATCCTTTATTGATTATTATTAATTGATAATCCCTGATTTTTAACTCTGGTTTATAATCCCTGATTGTATCCCCTGGTTGATGATCCTTGATTGATAATTCCAGACTGATAATCTGTGATTGATAATTCCTTAATAATACTGATTGATGATCCCTAATTGATTATTTCTGATTGATGACTCTTGATTGATAATCTGTGACTGGTGATTCCTGACTGATAATGCCTGATTGATGATTCCTTAATAATAGTGATTGATGATCTCTGAATAATGATCCATGATTGATTATTTATGATTGATGACCCTTGATTGATATTCCCATCAATGATTCCTGTTTGATAATCCCTAATTGGTGATCCCTGATTATCAGTCCCTGATTAATAATCCTGTATTGGTTATAGTTAATTGATAATCCCTGATTTAATCTCCTGGTTGATGATCCTTGATTGATGATTCCTGATTGAGAATTCCTTAATAATACTGATTGATGATTCCTAATTGATTATTTCTGATTGTTGACTCTTGATTGATAATATCTCATTGACGATCCCGGTTTGATAAATCCGTGACTGGTGATTCCTGACTGATAATCCCTGATTGATGATTAATTAATAATAGTGATTGATGATTTCTGATTAATGATCCTTGATTGATTATTTCTGATTGATGACCCCTGATTGATATTCCCATTGATGATTCCTGTTTGATAATCCCTAATTGGTGATCCCTGATTAATAATCCTTTACTGATTATTGTTCATTGATAATCCCTGATTTTTATCCCCTGGTTAATGATCCTTGATTGATAATCCCTGATTGATAGTTCCTTAATAATACTGATTGATTATTTCTGATTGATGACTCCTGATTGATAATCTCTCATTGATGATCTATGTTTGATAATCCTTGATTGATGATCTCTAATTAATAATCCCTGATTTTTAACTCTGATTGATGATCCTTGATTTATGATTCCTGATTGATAATCCATGATGATGATCCCTGATTTGATAATCCCTAAATTATTAATCCCTGATTGATGATCCCTGTTTAATGAGCTCCGAATATTATTCCCTGATTAATGATCCCTTATAGATGAATCCGTATTGATCACTGATTGATGATCCCTGATTGCAGTAGACCCCCGTACCATGCAGTACACAGACAAAGCAATTAAAGTTCATGTCAGGGCAAAATAAAATATAAATCATACTTAGTATCTCTCTGCATTATATGATCACTTCCATATGTTCTCTTTAAAAACACCAAAAGTACAGAAATATACCGGTTGATCTGCCAGAAATCCATTTCGCTTCCTAATTCCTGCAGTGAGAACATTGCCTCTGCTGCACCGAAATCCTAATGAGTGTTGTCAGACCTGCCTGGTTCTCCTCTGCTGGACTATAGGACATCTCCCCCTTATGTTCCATAGTTAGTTTGGCTGAAAAAAGACAAAAGTCCATCCAGTTCAACTATTAAAAAAGTTATAATCCGACACCCACAGCTGATCCAGAGGAAGGCAAAATCCAGCAAAGCACGATCCAATCTCCTCCTGCAGGGGAAAATATTCCTTCCTGATCCCCCGAGAGGCAATCGGATATTCCCTGGATCAATAATCAGATATTCCCTGGATCAATAATCGGATATTCCCGGGATCAATAATCGGATATTCCCGGGATCAATAATCGGATATTCTCAGGATCAATAATCGGATATTCCCGGGATCAATAATCGGATATTCCCTGGATCAATAATCGGATATTCCCGGGATCAATAATCGGATATTCCCGTGATCAATAATCGGATATTCCCGGGATCAATATTCGGATATTCCCGGGATCAATAATCGGATATTCCCGGGATCAATAATCGGATATTCCCTGGATCAATAATCGGATATTCCCGGGATCAATAATCGGATATTCCCGGATCAATAATCGGATATTCCCTGGATCAATATTCGGATATTCCCTGGATCAATAATCGGATATTCCCGGGATCACCTTTCCCTATAAATGTTATATCCAGTTATATTCTGTGTATCCAAGAAAGGATCCAGGACTTTCCTACAGCAACCCACTGAGCTGGCCACACCCAACCCTGGAGGGAGTCTATTCCACATTCTCACAGCTTTTACTGTGAAGAAACCTTTCCTTGTTTGGAGATGACATTTCTTTTCCTTCTGATGTAAAGAGCGCCCCCTTGTCCTCTGTGATGACCTCGGGGGGAATGACTACACCTGTTATGTAGATGAAGGGAGGGGAGTTATGCAGAAGAGCAGAGGTTTTGTATACGAGAAGAAGGGGAGGGGTTATGGAGATCAGGGGGAGGGGTTACGGCAATGAGAAGCGTACGTGAGGTTATGGCGATGAGGGGAGGGGTTATGGAGCTCAGGGGGAGGGGTTACGGCAATGAGAAGAGTACGTGAGGTTATGGCGATGAGGGGAGCGGTTATGGAGATTAGGGGGAGGGGTTACAGCAATTAGAAGAGTATGTGAGGTTATGGCGATGAGGGGAGGGGTTATGGAGATCAGGGGGAGGGGTTACGGCAATGAGAAGAGTATGTGAGGTTATGGCAATGAGGGGAGCGGTTATGGAGATTAGGGGGAGGGGTTACAGCAATCAGAAGAGTATGTGAGGTTATGGCGATGAGGGGAGGGGTTATGGAGATCAGGGGGAGGGGTTACAGCAATCAGAAGAGTTACATGGAGTTTAGGGGGAGGGGTTACGCAATCAGAAGAGTACGTGAGGTTTATGGCAATGAGGGGAGGGGATATGGAGTTTAGGGGGAGGGGTTACGGCAATGAGAAGAGTACGTGAGTTATGGCGATGAGGGGAGGAGTTATGGAGATCAGGGGGGGGAGGGG